GTAGCATAAAGGTGGCTAAAGGTAGCATAAAGTGGCTAAAGGTAGCAGGAATGTGGCTAAAGGTAGCATAAAGGTGGCTAAAGGTAGCATAAAGTGGCTAAAGGTAGCAGGAATGTGGCTAAAAGTAGCAGAAAGGTGGCTAAAAGAGGAAGAGCAGTGCTGAAGGTAACGGAACAGTTGCTAAAAGCTAAAATCAGTGTATGATAACAAAAACAAGATTCCAAAGAGAACAATGTTTTTGGAGGAACTGAATTTATTTTTGTGGGTAAAATCATTAAAAACAAACTTAAATATTTTCAAAGTATAAAAGTTACTGAAACCAAAAGTCGCAGCTCGCCTGGACTCCTCCACATCCGTCATCTTGTCTTTCCCTCCACAGATCGTGTCGGCGGTGCAGTACTGCCACCAGAAGCACATCGTTCACAGGGACCTCAAGGTGAGTTCTGATAAACCGGGTCAGTTCGGACTGAACCGACCAAAAATAAGCAAACACCAAATCTTCAGAAAAACAACTTCAGACAAATGTTCTGATTCAGTGTTTCAGGAAACTGTAGCGTGCATAGATCTTAATCCAATCTTTGTGACCTTTAACACCATCTGCTGCAAAAGTATTCACCCCCGTGCGCTCAGTGTTGAGGATGACTCTCAGCTACTACCACACCAGGTGCCTCGGCGTCTGTCAGACGGACACGTTTGTGTTTAATAATTAATACATGTCGAGGTGAGCGGCTGTTGAATCTGAAACGGTAAAAGATGTTTCTTCATATAAACATCGACGTGTTGTAACTCGGCTCAGCTGATCCGTGACGAGAGAAGAGCTCCGAGCAGTTTGTCTGCTTTACACGTGCGCGGACTACGTGCACGCTGTTTGTAATAAGAAGGAAGATCAGAGTGCGTTTATGAGGATTAAGCTGCTCGATGGTGGAAAAGATAACGATGCTGATTATTTTAATCAGATTTGTTGTGATGTGGAAATGTTCTTCGTGCACATCAAACTTTCCCTTAAAATAATTAATCTGAGTGTGGACAACTGGACAAAGACTAAACACACAAAAAAAACTTTTTTTTTCTCCACTGATTTTGTAAGAAATGTTTTTATTTTAAGTCATGTTTTTGTTTTTATCATATTTCTTTCCACCTAAAATGTTTTTTTTTCATTTGCTGGAGTAAAAAAATTAAATAGAATAATGGAAAAATACCCAACGTTTTATGAATATTGACTTAATTTAATTAAATATTTTTCTTTTCACTTTTTACAACTACTTTAATGTATTTTTACTTTTTATTCTTCACTCGTTGAGGCCTGTCAATCTGTTTCTTTATTATTATTTTTAACTGAACTTTAAACACACTATGAACATAAAATCAGCTCTGTTTTAAAAATGTTTACCCAGAATGCACTGCAGCGGACTCCTCAAACCCTCTCTCAGCACAGCAGTGGAGGGTTGATGGTTTGCATCTTCAGTCCTCACCGTTTAAATTTAATCTTAATGGAGTTTTGACTGATTTTTGCTTTCTTAATTTATTGTTTTATTCCACTTCTTGACCTTTTACAGTCTAAAGTATTTAACTCAGAATATAAGATATTGTCAGTAAATATAAAACAGATTTTTTTTTAGCATTAGTGTGACAGTAAAATGAGCTTTAAATAATCCAAATTTGTGTATTGGTGGTAAAAGTGTTCTTCTTTCGCAGGCGGAGAACCTTCTGCTCGACGCTGACATGAACATAAAGATCGCCGATTTCGGCTTCAGCAACGAGTTCACTCTGGGCAACAAGCTGGACACGTTCTGCGGCTCGCCGCCGTACGCCGCGCCGGAGCTCTTCCAGGGAAAGAAGTATGACGGGCCGGAGGTGGACGTCTGGAGCCTGGGTGTCATCCTGTACACGCTGGTCAGCGGCTCGCTGCCCTTCGATGGACAGAACCTTAAGGTGGGACGGTGTGGACCTGAAAGAGTCCAAGTTGGACATCAGTTTGACTTCCTGTGTCCGACTGCATCTCGGGTGTCTTCAGTCTAATCGGTCTGCCTGTTTAAAGGGTGACAGGTAGTCACAGGGCTGTTTGATATCATGGTGTGTAACACACAGAACATGACATGGATTTTATTTATTTATTTTTAATCATTCTGTCAAACTAGTTTCAAAAGCAACAACTGAATTTTATTAGTTGATGTTGTAGTATTTTTTGTTTTTGTAGTTTTTAATTGATCAATGTTTTTATGTTACGCCCGTTGAAAGAGTATTATGGTATAGTCTCCATCTGTCCGTAAACTTTCTCTTCTCCAGGCCATAACTTCTGAGCCACTCACGATAATTTAACAAAACTTGATTTGAATTTGTACCACCACTAGACAGCGTGTCGCCTTGTCTTAATCTGTCCAGCTCTAAGGTCAAGGTCACAGATCAAGGTCAAAGATTACACGAGATCTTTGCTTGTCCGGGCCGTTGATACAGATTGCTGTATAATAGTCTGTCCACGAGCGTATTTCATTTACCCGTTATTTATCCAGGTAGTCTCACTGAGCCACGAGAACTCATTTTCAAGAGAGACCTGTGTCCTATATAATGTGTATAATGTGCAGGACTCTTGTTAATCAGTTTAAAGTTGCACGTTTGTTGGTCTGAGGTGCTTTTTGTTTGACTCGGTCTCAGGATTCACTTCGTGTTCGCTCGTCCTCCTGCTCGGGTCTCTTCCTGCTTTAAACGGCCGATCAGAGACGCTCCGCGTCTTATTCTGTTCGTCCGTCTCCTCTCTGCAGGAGCTGCGTGAGCGAGTCCTCAGGGGGAAGTACCGCATCCCGTTCTACATGTCCACAGACTGCGAGAACCTGCTCAAACGGTTCCTGGTGCTGAACCCGGCCAAGCGCGGTACTCTGGAGGTGAGGGAGGACGCAGAACATGTAAATATTCCTCTGTTCTTTCTGCTCTCACCCTGAAGCGTTGGAGACGATGTGGCGTCTCTCCTCCTCTTTGTTCAAGCATCTCCTCACTGCATCATCTCCTCTGACACCCACAGTGTCCTGTTTTCTGTGCTGCTCCTCCTCCTCCCTGCTGTAACCATAAATAATGGATTGTAGTTGTTTTTTTTACCAGAATGGTTTTATGTGTCTCTGCCCTAATCTGAGTGGAGGACAGATTATCATTCATTCAGTTTCAGATTAAAACACATCAGAGACTAAATCTCTGCAGCACCTGGAAAAACGTCTTGATTTTAGAGAATCTGCAGATTATTATTTGTATAAGACGTGAAAGATCTTTGTGATCCAAGTCTGACAGATTTTTAACATTTAGAACATTTAGAATTTAACGATTGATAACAAAAATAAGCAACTATTGTGTATCGCTCAGAAAAATGCTTTCATTTTTCAGAATAAAAGCTTTTTTTTTTCTTCACCAGAATAGATCTTGTTGGTGAGACAGATCAATAACTACTTATGTCTTAAATTTTATTTCTAATAAACCAATAATTCAACATGTGAACCCTGATAACAGCTGAAAGTTAATAAACCAGACTATATCACTGTTATAGGAGATATTTTGCTAACAGACAAGGCTATTGTCTTTTATTTCCTCTTTAAATTCTGTTGAGCTCACGGGCTCAAAGCGATCGTTGTTGGTTTGACTCGATGCGTCTCATCGGTCAGTTTCTGACCCGGACGGACCTGCTTGCATCAGAACTGCAGATGAAACCCCGGAGAGTGATTGATCCGTTCAGCACATTCATTCTCCTGATGTGATTTGTATCAACTCCTGCCACGAGAGGCGGGCGATCATGTAATTCACTGGGTCCCATCTGATTTTCTGTCTGTTAGCAAAATATCTCACAAACCACTGTGCAGATTTTAAAAGGGTTCCTGCAGTCTTGAAAACCATTTTTGATTAAAACTTCAGCATGCAACGTGGCAGGCGATGTGCATTCCAACTAGGATGATTTCGGCTGTTTTAGCTCATAGAAACGTGAGCAAAATATGCACAAACTGAAAAATTGGCTTTTTCTGCTGAAATGTGGCGTGAACATGAGCGTGAGCTGAAATTTGTTAAAGGAGCTAAAACTGAGCTGATGAAGCCAAAACGATCCAAACAGAAGCTGAAAGTTAAAATCGGCAAAACTACAACTAGCTAAACGAAAGCTAAAATTAACATGAAAGCTGCAATTTACAAAACAAAAGCTAAACGCTACAACTAACGGAGTAGGAGCTAAAATCTAAATGTAGCAGAACAGTAGCTTATACCAGCAAAACAATAGCTAAAAGATCTCATGGGCAAAGCTAAATGTAGCCTTAGCTAAACTAAATTTAGTAAAACAGCTAAAAGACTTGGTAAATGATAGTTAAAAACCAATATTAGCTTTACGGCAGCTCTAATTTTAACGATAATTATTTAAAAACCTAAAGTTTTTAAAACAAAATTAAACCAGCAAAACATTAATTTAAAGGTAAAACTTGCATATTTGTAGCAAATAAGTAGATAAAATGAGCATATCAGTAGCTAGAAACCAAAAATTAGCTAAACGGTTGCTAGAAGCCAATATTACTTAAACAATGGCTAGAAGCTAAAATTCTAAAAACAGTAGCTGAAAGCTAAAAGTGCAACCAGTATTCTGAAGACATTTTACAGTGCGTAGTTTCTCAAGGATTCAAACGCATCGGTGCACTTCAACAGCTAAAAGTCATAGCTGTATTTTCCTGAACGAGCCGAACGTTTGGATTCAAGAATGGCTAAAGCAGCTGAAATAATTCAGAAGCGGTTTGTCCACAAAACGTACAGAAGAAACGTTGAATCGGCAGATCGATGCTGACTCGGCGTTGTTTTTATTGAACGGAACATAAAAGGTGAAATTGTTGTTAAACGCTTCGTGAAGCCGTGGTTCTCTAACCGCCTGCCTTCGATCTGCAGCAAATCATGAAGGATCGATGGATCAACGCAGGCTTCGAGGACGACGAGCTCAAACCTTACACAGAACCAGAACTGGACATCACGGACCAGAAGAGGATAGGTAAACACGAGGGAGGGGGGCTGCGCTTTAATTATTTGTGTGATGTTGAAGATTATATTGTATATTTAAATTAATTCCCACCTCCTCGTTCCAACCCGTCACACTCTGGTCGTGGTTTCTGTCCAACATGGCGGAAGGTGACGTGGAGCGTGATGAACGTTTGTCAACCTCCACGCTCTTAAAGAGGCTGGAGAGCTTTAATGGAAAAGACTGCGGATAAACAATGAATGGGATCAGTGCTGATGAGGCCAGAAAACCACAGGAACCTCCCCCATGTGAAAAGGGGCGGGGCTCTTACATAACCGCAGCTGTGATTGGCTGGATGTGAGCGTCAACTCGTTATCGCCCCAACGTTGAGCGAACTGGCTCTTTATGTTGCTGAGGAATCTCTGAATTCTTTCACGGATGGAAACTTTAGGAGTTTTAGCAGAGATGACCCAGATCAGTCAGAGAAAATAAATCAGGTTGTTTTGTTTTTTTTTTACCTCGAGACCTTCGAGTCGTTTGGATATTTAAATTTAGATCGTTTTTAACTGTGATGCTAATTTTAGCTTTTCAAACGAAGAGGTTTTTTTTCTGTTTTCTACAAAGTTAAAGAAGCACAGAGCTGATCAGGAGCAGCTCTGTGCTTCTGTGGATCTAGAGCACTGGTTCTGTTTGATGAGGGGAAGTGCGTGAGGGTAGTGCAGGAGACGGTGAGATGTGCAGTATGAGTGGCAGGTGTGGGTCAACTTTCTGGTTGCAGTGATTGTGGACATGTTGACAGATGCTGGGCGGTCTCACTGACTGGGAGTTGTGTGGATGCGTTTTGAGCAGCAAAGTTTTGAAAACCATTGTCTGATTTTTGTGTGCACGGCTTTTAGGAACCAAAAAATGTAATAATAAAAAAATTTATTATTATTCTATTATTATTATTATTACTAGAAATTCTTTGGATCAGCAGTTTCACACATTCTGTCCCGCATCATTAAATCTGCTGAGGGTCTTTCAGGTGGTGTGAGGGTTGATTTTACCAGTTAAACCATTGAAGATCTCTCCATCTTCTAACACTCATCTGTGGTTGGGTCATGGAGACAACAGGTCCAGAGAAACCCAGACCTCTCTGTCCAGCTCCTCCTAGGACCCCGAGGTGTTCCTAGGCCAGACAAGATGAATAATCCCTCCAGAGAGTTCTGGGTCTGTGCCGGGATCTCGTCCCAGTGGGACGTGCCTGGAAAACCTCCAAAAGGAGGCGTCCTTTTGAGATTGTAGATCTAACTCCGAGTCCCTGACTCTTGTGGAAAATGTGTAGAAATAGTGCAGGTCAGGGACAAACAGATTCTGGTTTACCCAGGGTGCACGGTCCGATCCGTCTCTGGAGGCCAACCTCATTTTCTGAACCTGCGTGAGAAATAAATAAAAACACCTCTGAACAAACTGGAGCCAGAGTTTATTCTCGGAGAGAGGTCGTCGGTGCAGCGCTGAGGATGGAGCTGAGAGGGAGGAGGAGAGAACAGAGTTTTCTGGGATAAGTCCCACTGGGAGGGGTTCTGGGTTTCCCTTCTGGACCTGCTGCCTCTGCAGCCCGACCACGATGAGCAGAACAAAGTGAGTCGTTTCAGCTGGAGGTGAATCGTTTACAGACGAGTGATGCAGTCGCAGGTTGTCCAAGGATTTATCAGGTCCAAACTGTGACAAAGTGATCCGGAACCAACGACACACGGTGATCCGAGTTAACAGACAATAAAATATTTTATTGTTGAGCGTTAAAACAGGTGTAGATTTAATCTTTTAGTGAGTTTACTTCAGGAAGGTGTTTCAGTCTTAACCTCTCGTGCAGCTGGAGATTTCAGGAAGTTCTGAGGTTCTGTGACCCGCGTCTGCTCTGCATGAACCCCCTCTGAGTTTTAATAAAACGGGACCATGAATCTCTGGAGGGTTTCTTCCTTGTAAATGAGTCCATGTAGACGTGGTTTTGTGTTTGAGCTGCGAGGCAGAGGAAGTGTTGAGGCAGAAAGATGAAAGTGATAAAGACGCAGATAACGGATCCGATTCTGTCCGGATACAGAGCCAGAACTCATTTCTCACCTCTTCTCTCTGCCCACACCAGACACTCCATGTCACACTTCAGTGTGGTGTTCAGCCTCATGGAACGTCCCTTCTGGGTCGCTCTTTTCCTCCAACAGTCTGTTTCAAGTAGGTTTAATAGTCTGGATGATTATGAAGCAGTCGCTCTATTGTGGTCCATTTTACTTACGTACGTTTTTCAGTGCGATTTTCATCCCGCGGTTTTCAACAAATCATAAAATGTTCAACTCTTTCAGGACATTCCTGCTGTGACTCTTGGTGTTGGTGCAACTTTAGCTTTTTGAAATATTTAGTCTTTTCTGCCATTTTGTTTTCCTCATCGAAAAGCTCATTTTACATCCTTCAAATATTTAGATCTGTTTACAACTTTTTACTGCTTCTTTCATATTTTGTTCTGGTTCAGCTTCTTTCAGCGTCCTTGTGCTAATTTAAACGTTTTTAGCTACTTTCAGCATTTTTTTTCGGCTGTTTTGTGCTCCTTTCAGACTGTTTCTGCCATCTACAACCTTTTTGTGATTCTTCTAACTTCTTTCTGCTAATTTCAGCTTGGTCTGCTCCTTTTAGCCCATTTCTGCCAGTTTCAGCTTTTTTTTTTTTTTTGCCATTTCAAACACTTTTTATGCTAATTTTAGCTTTTCCACCAAATTCCACATTTTTGGCATTCATTTCAACTTTTTTTAGCCTAATTCAGCAAAAATGTGCTCTCGACTTCTTTCTTGTAATTTAAGCTTCTTTCTGCTTTTTTAGCTACTTTTCAGCTGTTTTTTTGGGCTAAATTCATTTTTTTTTCAGATAATTTCCACTTTATGTGCTCATTTCAGCTTAATTGGGAGAACATGTTCTTTCTGCTTTCTTCTGCTTGTTCTACCTTTTCAGTTACCTTGTTAGTATTTTTTTAGCTAATGTCAGCTGTTTTCTGATAAATTCAAGTTTTTCATTGTCATTTTTGCTAGTTTCAGCCTAATTAAATTATTTATGCTAATTCCAGCTTGTTATGCTCCTTTCAACATGCTAGTTTCGGCTTTTTCTGCTTTTTCAGCTACTGTTTAGCAGTTTTGATGCTAATTTTTCTATTTTCAGTTAACTCCACATTTTTGGAGCTCCCTTCAGCTCTTTCCACTTCCTTCTGGTAGTTTAAGCTTCTTCCTGCCTTTTCAGCTACTTTCAGCTATTGTTTGCCAATTTCAGCTTTTTTTAAGCTACTGGTAATTTCCTTATTTTTCTGCTCATTTCAGCTTATTTAAACCTAATTCAGCAAATATTCGTTCTTTCTGCGTTCTTCTACTAACACAGGCTTTTTCTTCCATTTCAGCTACATTTCAGCATTTTTTTAGCTAATTTCAGCTGTTTTTCAGCAAGTTCTTCTGCAATAAACATTCACACTGCAGGAAATACAATTTCTCTAGTTAAGACTCGACTCCCTCCTGTTTACCTGAAAAGACTCGACCAGATTAGAGGATCTTTGTAGTTAAATATGAGCCGTTAGAATAAGTTTTACCGTCAGAAGATTGGCCTTAAAGTCTTTGATTCCACAAGAAGAGGGTGTACCTGAACTTTTACAGCAGAGTTGAAAAAGAATTGTGGATTTTAACACAAAAGCTGCTTTTTTAATTTGAAAGTTTGTGTCAAAGCACAAATCTTCAGTCATTCTGGACAAGAAATGAGCTTCAGCGTCCACAGAGGTTCTCAGAAGATTCTCGTCTTCACTTCAAGTTGTTTTCATTTGAAGCCAAGATCCGGTTTTTCCTCGTGCCGCTCAAATTTTTGGATCGTCTTTTATTTTTATTTCCGTCGAAGTTGACTTTTGATTTAACTCGTAAAACGTTGATGCCAAACGTTATTACCGTCAGTCGTTCTTTAAATAATTACACCGCTCGTCTCAAGAATCTGAATATTCTTTACGTCTGCAGGAGTTTGAGACATTTCTCTGACGTGAAGTTTGGATTAAAATTCTTTAATTTAATATATATTTGTATTGATGCTGCTTCGTTAGGGTTTAAACAAATATTTGATTGTTGCTTCTGGTTCTGTTCGTTTCAATCAGTGGGTCTCCGTTTGTTGGATGTTACTTCTAATTTATTTGTTTATCTTTTAAAACTTGACCTAACAAAATGTTAATCCTCGCATTTTTAATTCAGTGACAATAGACTTTTTACCTTTTTATTCGTTTATAAATTGGAGCTTTTATAATTTTATAGTTTTTTTGCTTCTTTTTATGGATTTCTAAATGATTGTACATCTGTTTTATTTCTTTATATTTTTGATCAGTATGAGGCTGATGGAGCAGTCTGTTCTAGCAAACTGTATGGTCTTATTTTATTTTTTTAATTAAAACTCAGTCCAAAGGAGCAGCCTGGACACAAATTGTCTTCGTTTCTGTTTGAGCTGCCTTCAGTGAACTTTGAATTGTACTTGTTAAACCAGCTGGTTGGTTTTTCTTGTCCGGTTGTGCTTTTTTTGTGTTTGTGTAAATCGTTTGTCTTGGTTGTTTTGTGCAGATGTGATGGTGGGAATGGGCTACAACCTGGAGGAGATCCAGGACTCTTTAGCCAAGATGAAGTACGACGAGATCACAGCGACGTACCTGCTGCTGGGCAGGAAGGCCTCCGAGGTACAAACACTTACCCGCAGAGAGATTTCGAGACATTTAAAATGACGGGTTTTTAATTTTATCGCTCGTGTTTGGACTCCCTCTCGTCTCCCAGCTGGAGCCCATCGAGTCCGCCTCCAGCAGCAATCTGTCCCTGTCCAAACCGAGGCCCAACAGCGAGCTGAACGGTCAGTCGCCCTCCCACCTCAAAGTTCAGAGGAGCGTCTCCTCCAACCACAAGCAGAGGCGCTACAGTGAACAAGGTGAGGAGGCAACGGGAACCCTTTCTCTGGTTTACACTCAGTCTGGACAAGTCTGGGATCTGGTTTTAGTGCTTTCCTGGTCTAAATAAATAGCAGACTTTGTTTTTTTTCCTGTTGCACTTTCTTCATATTTTCACATTTGTAAATAAATTACCACAATGTTCACTTTAGATTCATTTAGGGTTTTATCCATCACAGGTTTTTGTTTCTGATATTGCAGAGTGGTACTTGTGATCAAATATGTGATAGCCTATAAAATTATTATATATTTTGCTTTTAGAAACACGGGACAAAAAAGGTTGATCTAGAGTTTTAGATCACTTGAAATTTCATCAATAAAATGCTGCTTCTTATCAACTTATTATTATTATTATTTATTATTTAGGGACATCAGGGCCAATTGGGAATTATCCAAGTGCCAGTTTTGGCCCCCGGGCCGTATGTTGCCCACATGTGGGCTGAAAGTTCTCATCAGTCAAAAAAAAAAAATCTCCATGAATGTCTTTGAATATTTGACTTGTCCAAACAGGAAATGGAAGAAAAACCTTGGAAATGTTTCCCGAATTTCCAGTTTTGAAGAATATTTTGTTCCAGTTCAGTGTGCGGCCCTAGGATTGAGAAACTCTTGTTTTTATGTTTTCTACTATGACAAAAGCGCCATAAACATTCACAGAAAATTTCTAGATGTATAAAAGCTAAAAAAAATCCAGAAAAAAACATCTTAATTTGGAAATGTGTTTTGGAAATTGTGTAGAAACCTGTTTACAGTTTGCTGCTGTGCCTCTTTGACATTTTCTGTGTCAAATGTTGGCCTTCACTTTACATTAAAACAGACGAGATGTTTTTTAATTGTATCCAAACCATCTTAATGTGCTGGTTCTGTAATAAAACCCTGTCCTGATTTTTCCCTTCAGTGGGTCAGAACGTTCCTCCGGGCATGGCTCATCCAAAGAGGAGTCAGACCACCACGGGGGACAACAGTGCGAAGGATGAAGTCCAGCTCCGGAAGCCGGGCACCCCCGGGAGCCGAGGTGCACCCCCATCCAGCCCCCTGCTGGGCAACGCCAACAACCCCAACAAGGCTGACATCCCCGACCGGAGGAAAGGAGCCACCACCGGTCCGAGCGTGAGTTGCCGAGGGGACGAGCTTCCTCGCTGAGATGGTCCTTGTAGACCCAAACAGTAGCTGGGTCCTCGGTTCCTGGACTACACCAGGAGACAGCATAGCTTTTATAAAAAGGCTTTTGTGTTTGACTCAGATGTTTTCCTCTCTTTTCGCTCTGCAGAATAACTCTGCGTCGGCAGGAATGACGAGGAGGAACACGTATGTCTGCAGCGACAGAAACAACACGGACCGCCTGTCGGTCATCCCCAACGGGAAGGAGAACAGGTGAGAGTTTGACCCCGAATCGGGACGTTTGAGGGTTAGTTTGGGTTTTTCCTCTCCACTTGAGAGTTCTTCCTTCTTGTTTATTCTCTTTTCTACTGATCTTGTTTTGCCGATCCGAGCTCAGTGTTTATTTTTTCTGTTTTGTTGGATTTCCCCTCGTTTGGGCATGAGCAGCATGACAGAAATGGCTTGTGACACTAGTCCCTCTTCTGCCTTTGCGGCCGCTGTGTTCGGTGCCTCGTCCAGTTCGGTGCAGCGGAGGTATCAAACTGTCGGCCCTTTGTACGCTTGTCAGGCAAGCCGGGCCTTACTGCCCCACTCCTACTACGCTCTGGACCGCTGCTCGGCCAAGTAAGACGGCAGAGCCTCTGAACCCCACCTGTCTGTCTCGTGTCTCAGCCCTCGTCTGGCCCCCGCCTAACCCCCACATGCAGCCAGCTTCTCACTCTGTAACCCCACAGCTAAAGGCTTCACATCCTCCAGAGAACTGCAGGGTCGTTGGTTTCTGGTCAAATTTATGCTCATGTTGAGCCAAAAGCAGGTAAAATGAAAAAGACTAAAACTTATATTGAACAAATGAAAATCTCGCTTTTATCATCTGTGTGTAAAGATCATGTAGTCATCAACAAAATGAAGCAGAATCATGTCACTTCCTTGTGCTTCTATGGCCACGCCCTCTTTTGGGAGGGTAACCAAAAACAATAACATAAAGCAGCTCAAAGAAGAACGTGTTGAATGCAAAGATTTACCAAATGTAAATCCACTAGGTGGCACCATTTGATTCACATTCATGAAAGTTTTGTTTCGTGTAACGCTGGGGATCATTTATTGGCAGAGAAATTAAATAATTTCATGTCGAACAGGCCATAAAATTCAGGCTCATCGAGACTTCAAAGTAGTTCTGTAGTCTTATTTCACAATGCAGGTTTTGCCCAAAAGAGGGCGGAGCTTTGTGCAGAGGCTACAAAGAAGGGTGGAGCTTCACCCTGATGCTACATACCCAGATGTGTTGCTCCATTCTATAAGCAGTTTATTCAACAGAACCATAATAATGTGATAAATTAGTCTAATGACTTCAAGAATCAGATTCAAACTGTCACAAGAGAAGAACTAATCTGTGATTCAAAATTTCTATAAATACAAAAAACATCAGACAAAAAGCATAAAACAAAATCCTCTGTCTCCCAGATAAAAACAAATTATGTTAGACTTGTTTTTTCTGGTCGCCAGAAACATAAATCCTGAAATATGGTTTTCATTCTGGATAAGTTTTACCTGCGTTTGGATCATGTTGAGCTTTGATTTGAGACGTTGGAGAAAAATATGTATCTACATCCTTAAATCCAGCGTCTCCGCTTGGAGGAACGAATGCCAGATGATATTTTTCCACGTGTCCGTCATTTCCTTTGCTCATCATAAACCAGTCTCCTGCTGAATAACAAACTGGCACAACCCTGCTCCTGTCTCCTCCATCTTCTGCCATGACCTCTGACCCCTGACCACCCGGCCTGGTGTTCAACAGCCCCCCCTCCTCCGCCTCAGCATCCTTTTTTCATGGTTTCTCTCTGACTGAGCAGGAACAGAACTCCTTTCATGTTACACATCTGAGCTTTGATCATCAGCATGGGAAATAAACAGGAGCATCGCCCCCTGCTGGATGGGGGTGGAAATCTATAGACCCAAGGTTCTGAATACACTCAGAAACTCAAATTAGCATCACAGAAGCAGAAAGCTAAATTCAGCAAATGGTACCAATCCTAAATGTAGCAAAACCATACCAAAAATAGTGTTACCATTTCTTAAAGGTAAAGTCACCCAAGCCGTAGCTAAAGGCTAAAATTACCACAGGTAAAATCAGCAAACGATACATAAAAGTCAAATGTAGCAGAAGCATAGCTTAAAATAGCCAAGCTGCAGCTAAAAACGTCAGCTGGCAAAACCATTGTTAAAAAGTAAAATAGCAAAACAGTAGCTAAAAACAAAAATCAAATAAACAGCAAATAACTAATATTAGCAAAACAACAAGACATTGAAAGCTAAAGTTAAGGAAACAGTAGCCAAAAATTAAACAAGAAAAAGTCGTAGCTAAAAGATAAAATGACCTAACCCCATAGCTAAAAACTAAAATGAGCACAACAAAAACTGAAAATTAAAATCAGCAAAGAGTACCTAAAGGCTAAATGTGGCAAAACCGTAGCTAAAATGAACAAAACGGTAGCTAAAATCTCAAGATATCTAAAATGAGTAAGATAGTACAAATGCTAGAATTAGCAGCACTGAAGCAAAAACCTAAATTAGCAAAACCGCAGCTAAAAGTTAAAATTAGCTTAACTTTAGCTACCATAAATGAGCAAAACAGCAGCTAAGAGCTACAAATTGTAAAGCGACAGAAAAACAGTAAATAAGATTTTAATGTAGTTCTGTAAGGGAAAATAATTTTTCAATGTTTTGTTAAATAAAAATTGTAAAGGACTTGAGTTTGAACAGCAGTTTAGTTCAAATAAATGTATTTATGTTTATTTTTCCACCCTGTTGATGTCAAACCTGCAGTTAACGTTAAGCGCTTAAATCCATGTTGTAACAACAAAGTGCCGTTAGAAAAGCATGTTGTTGATCCCGTGTCGGATCAGAACCCGGCTGCATCGCACACACTTTGTCGAACCTCCAACACATTTATGGCTCCAGCCTGTTCTGCTCTGTAAACCTCCGGGTCGTAACCTCTCCTCCTCCTCCAGTGTTGCAGTGTCGCCCAGCGGCCAGAGGAACCCGGTGGCGTCGACTCACAGCGTCACCAACGCCACCACGCCGGACCGCCTCCGCTTCCCCAGGGGTACCGCCAGCCGCAGCACCTTCCACGGCGGCCAGCTGAGGGACCGCCGCACCGCCACGTACAACGGGCCGCCGGCCTCCCCCACCCTCTCCCACGACGCCACTCCTCTGTCCCAAACCCGCAGCCGCGGAACCAGCAACCTGTTCTCCAAACTCACCTCCAAACTGACCCGCAGGTAGGCGAGGACACGTCTCCGCAGCTCAAACCTGGATCCGGGCTCGTTTCCTTCCAGCCAGATTGAAAACGCTCCTTCACAGAGAATTTAATTTATTTTAACGTTTCGGCTGAGAAGGAAAGAGGACGGACTCCAAACTCGTTTTGTTTTGATTTCCTGGGAGCTTCGTGCCTTTAGAGCCCGACTGATTCATTAAAAAGAGTGGGGGTCACCTCAGTGTCCCGCTGAATGGGATTTAATTTGTAATCTGTATAATCTGTCACTGCCCGGTCGCCTCTTAGAGGACACAAACCCTTCTGAAGATCAGACTTTAAATGAACTTTTCTGAACTGACAAATGTTCTCAGATGAAAACCATAAAGAGCTCCTTTTCCTTTGTGCTAAAGCAAATTTGTTTGTATGAAAAAGACAAACAAGAACGTTTTATGATCAAAGAGAAGATTTTAATTGTTACAAATTCTGTTTATTTCTGCTCAGTGTTGCTAACTTCGTTTGTCGTTATATTTAGTGTTTTCTTTCTTTTTACGTCTGTCAGGGACTGTGTACAAAAAAAGTTAAACTAATTGAGTTGTCCCAGATTATAGCTTTCTAGCTAATCTGTAGTCCCTGAAAACAAATTTAATTATAAAATTTGATATTGGAACGTTAAACAATACGGGACCAAATTTATGAAACATTTATTTATGTAATGAAAGCAAAAGCATTAAAGTCATGAAATGATTTTGTAGGTCTAAATATAATTAGTGTTTTAACTCTCTTTGTGTCCCTCCAGCATTTATTTTTATCTCCAACAGCTTAAATCACAATTTCAATGAAATGTCCAAATATGCAAATTAGGCGATGACGTCATCAAGCGACTTCTGGGGCAGCCAATAGCTGCTTTCCAGGATTAAGCTGAGGGGTTGCTCTGATGGAGCAGACAGCGCAGTCAGAGTCTGATGATGATCAAGCCCGACGGGTCAGAACTCTGGAGAAGCAGCCGGGCAGTGACTGACCTCAGCTGAGGAGCTGAAACAAAACAGAAAAACTGATTCTCCATTTTTACAGCCGAATGTTCCCATCAGCGCCTTTACATTCATCCATTCAGACGCCCCACCTGTCTTTGCTCTGTCACCATTTTTCACTGTCTCTTTGTCTGGTTTTGTTGTAGAAACATGTCATTCAGGTTTACCAAAAGGTAGGACCTATGCACTGAAAAACTAAAGCGTAACAAGAACGATTCTTCTGAGACTCTGCAGATGAACGGGGCTGCTGCTGCTCTGAACTAACACTAGCTTGGCAGGTCTGGGCGCATCTACACACACAGATTATAATCTGATTAATGACAGACGTTAGGGAATCCGTGCTGGATTAATTGGCTTTTTTTCCCTAAAAGTGGAGTCAATATGTTAAACGTGGAGCTGCAGCCAGATAAAAACCTGTTTGAACTGGATTTATGATTTGGATTTGGTGTGAGAACATGATCAGCGACCGTCTGACGGAACGCTGAGTGAGTCGTGTTTTGAACGAGCAGGCTTTAAATTCACGGCCTGTTTTTGTTTGCACGACTCGCTAAACTCCATTCAAGGCCGTGCACGTTACTTCGTCGGCCACCTCGGTCCACATCGTGCTCACCTTGACCCTCCTCAGCAGCCGGCCCACATTTATGACTCCATCTGCTGGAGAACACTTCAGAACTGAAGACAGACCGGTTTGGACCAGTTTTTAAATTATTTACCATCGGTGCGCTTTTTAGACCCGTTTAACATCAAGCGACAGAACCACGGGCCTCCGTGACCCACGTGAACGTTTGGAGACATTTTGAAGCCACCTAGTCTCCAACCGTCACAACCCAGTCAGCTACCAGAGCTCAGGGAGTTCCTAAAGACCTCGTCAAGATCCTGTAAACCTCCCAGGTTCTGACTGATCGTATCAGGTCATCAACCTGGCTGAATGGGTCCAAACTAAGCTGGCTGTGTTCTGGTTAGAGCTTCATGTTCATCAAAGTGAAGTTGGAGCATCTCTTTAGATCAGATGTTGTGTTCTTGTGTGTGTAGACGCTCCCAGTGTGGTTCTGGTGGGTCCGAGTGACGGCCGATCGATCAGTCGATCGGTCGCTCGATGGACCGGCAGCTCGGCACTAATCGATCTCATGGCATGCCTAACATCAGCTGTGGTTTGGGTTTTTCACCTCAGATCTGTAACAACTGAACTCTGTCTTCAGCTTCTAACTCCACAACTTTCCTCACAATGAAACGTGAAGCCGTCTTCATTTGGAGCTGGTTTTTGTTAAATGTTTAGTTTCAGTACAGGAAACTGCAGCGACGAGTTTAAATTAGCTTTCAGAGTCGCGTTAATCAGAGATATTAAGATTAAATTAATCAACCGTTTTCTTTAAAGCTACTGAATTGGCCTCATTATCAGTTTATTTTTGTATTTAACAACATATCGGGTCATTTTAACATGTTTCTAACATGTTTCTCTCCGTGCAAGTTTTACATGCCATGACAGCAGGAAATAAACGTTTTTAGTGACTTAAACTTCCAGCAGCTGGTGCAATTCAGCTTCACGTGAAGTTTATTCAGACGAGAACTGAACGAGGAACCGTCAACAAGTTCTGGTTTTAAACATGACCAGAACTCAAAACGTCTTTGGTGCCGTCCACATGGGGACGATGTTTTAGGAGCTCTTAAATAGCAACTTCAGAAAACTGGTTCCATTCCTTAAAACCCCACGTTTAAAAAAAAAAAAAAAACTGTCGTATCCTGACCTTCGACTGCCTCGGCAGTTCGGGTCGACGTCTGTCTCAATGTGGACGAAGATGTTTCTGGAAACGGTGCCGTGTTTACGAGGATATTTATAAAAACAACAATTTAAAAGATTATTTTGGGTAAACTGTGCTTCCGTGTAGAAGAACGTCTTTAGTTTGGTTTCCTGGCAGAGAATTGTTTGGATTCATTTAGTAATTTGACAGTTTTTAAACTAAATTTTAAGTTTAATTTAAAACATAGACAAATTTTCCTTCAAACAAAGGCGTTGAGTCACCCTCCTCAAGTGGTAAATCTTGTAATTTTCTGTTTTTTGTGATTGTTCCTGTAGTTTTTCTGTAGTTTCCAGGTGGCAGATGGAACTCAGAGGAGTTCTGACCTGATGTTTGTGTTAACGAGACGCTTTCTGCTCGTTTTCAGTCAGATTCTGTCGTCTTATGAGGCACTGAAGGAGGGAGGTGGAGGGTCACTGCGGAGAACAGCTGATGCCTAACACATGAATAATCCCATTTTTAAGGGATTGTCTCGACGTTTTGAACAGTCAATACTTTACCTGTTGTAGATAGCTCTTTGGATGACCTCCTTAAAGACTGCACATTAAACTTACAAGTGGAAACGGCATCAGCAGTTATTTGTAGCACTTCCTGCAAGTTTCTGCAGCAGAGAAACAGGAAGGTACTTGGTGTGTCATCTGGATGGAGAATAATAGTGAAGTGCAGGAAACCATTAAAAAAAAAGAGGTTAGCCAAGAAGAAATATGACTGTAAGAGGACTGAAGAGAGGAGACAGGAATTTAAGGAGATGGGATGTGGAGCAAAGAGGGAGGTGACTAAGGTAAAGCAGAGGGCGTACGATGAGTTGTGTGGGAGGTTGGACATTAAGAGGGTGAGAAGGACTTGTACTGATTGGTGAAACAGAGGGATCAGCCTGGAAAGGATGTGCAGCAGGTTAGGCTTGTGAAATATAGGACTGGTAATATTCTAACAAGTGAGGAGAACGTGACGGGAAGATGGAAGGAGTACTTTGAGGAGCTAATGAATGGAGAGAATGAAAGAAAAAGAAGAATAGAGGTCAGAGAAACTGTAGACCAGGAAGTGGGAAAGATTAGTGAGGGTGAAGTTCAGATAGCTCTGAAAAGAATGAAGAATGGAAGGCAGTAGGACCTGATAACATAGCAGTGGAGGTTTGGAAATGTCTTGGAGATATCCAAAAGTTAAGTCAGGTCCTCTGGACGGGTTCAAAAAACAAACAATTGTAGAAATGTTCAGATAAAGACGAAACGTTTCTACAATTTTTTTGTTTTTTGAACCCGCCCAGAGGACCTGATTTAACTTTTTTTAGATTTTTCTACCTGGAATATTATATAATTTTTCATCGACATAAAACGTCTGTTTCAGATTAAATAATTTGAAGTTTCTGCAGGAATTCCTTCTGTTTCTTACTCTCAGTATGTGCAGTCACTAAGAAGGAAGTTAAAAGTTGTATTCTGTGTTGGTTCTGTTCTGCAGACGTGTTTCCACGTCGACCTGCTGTTGCTTTATCAAAAACAAACCTTGCTTTTATTTTAAGTAGCTGATAAAGTGAAGTTAAACCCCTCCCACAGAGCTCAGGTACAGGATGTGAGGGTCCGGTCCAGTTGAGCTTTGGCTCAGTTTTTGTGTTGAGCTGAGCTTTTTGAGCCGTCTCCAGGTCCGCGGCTCCCTCTTGTGGCTGATTTGAAGACCTCCATCTTCATCCATCATCATCTTCATCATGACCTGAATCTTTGTGGATCCGTTCTGGTTCCACCTCTTCCTCACTTCCTTCTGTTTTATCTGTGGAGCCTCCAAGGTGAAAAAATGTAGTAAAAGGTTTAAACTGGACTTTTGGTTCTGCTGTTTTAACTCTTCTGGTGACCTTTTACTAAATTTTGTCAGCTCCGGCTCTCCGTACGTGTCTTCACATCCCGGGACGTGATCAGTGAGTTCTGGTTGTTTTTATTTCCTCCTCAGGATGATTTAGGTTGTGTCGCCTCCTCCCCTTTCACCTCCTCCTCCTCCTCTCTTTACAGCTTTTGTGTTTTTGTCTTCTTGTCCTTTTTGTGTCTTTAACCTTTGACCTTTTGCTGCTCTTCCTCTCTGCCCAGGGTCAGTATTGACCCATCCAAGCGGCAGGCGGCCAAAACTGGGCCGGCCGTCCCCTCCACCCAGGGAGGAAAGACCCTTAGTAAGTCCTCTGCCCTTCGGCTCCTGTCAGCCTCTCCTTCCTTCTCTCCATCCCTCCATGGTCTGCTTCTTTTTTAATTTTTTTATTATTTCACGTCATTCATTGAATATTCTGTCCCTCTCTCTTTCTTTTCTCGTCTTTTGTCCTGAGAGTTTTGCTTTTTCCTCAGATTCCCGTTTCTTTTTTTCAGATTCACAAGCAGAAGATGTAGAGAGTTGTAGGACGATGAAGATCTAGAGTAAGGGCTGTTGAATCCCTCAGTTTCTTCTTTTGAAGACAAAATAAATAAAAGGTTTTCCGCCGCACCCCTCGGTCATGTGACCTCCACAGCCTCTGGCTGATCCAGGACCTGCTGTCGGTCCCGTCTGTCCGCTCTTGTTGTCGACTCTTTGGGTTTGTCCTCCACCCGTCCTGTTTCTCTGTCCCGCTGGCTGCAGTGCATGATGGGAGCTTGTCTCGACCCGCCTGTCCCGTCAGTGGAGCAAGAGGTTTCCTGATGATGTTTGACTGAGAGAGAACATGGGTTCTTCTCAGATTTATTAGGTAGGTTTAAAGAGAAAAAGCTTTATCCAGGAAATTTAAAAAATAAATAAATGAAGTAGTTGCGATCAGTAAGTCATCAAATATTTCTGTCATTTACAGAATTAAATGGTTCATGGGAAGATAATTAAATAATTGCACTTGATTTTACTCTTCTGCACCGTTTGACCTCATGAAGGTGGTATCTCGCCAGGCTGCAGCGTGTTGGAGACCAGCTGGCGACTGGAACGTGACGTTTTTTCTGCAGTCTGACTAAACCGAGTGTTGGCGAGCAGCGATCCGACGCAGAGCGGAGTCAGAACCAAGACCAAAGAGTTGAACTCAGAAAACTGAACCAGAGTAGAACGAGGCATTGAGCAGTAATCTGCTCTTTGTACCTAAAGTCAGCGCCGTGTTCAACGAGTTCATCCTGAGATTTACACAAATGAGCGTTATTGGGTGTCCACTGCTGGAGGACACGTTGGTGATGAAGACAGGTTGGAGGACTTAGTGACGGTCGTCAGAGAAGCTTTGTTGCACAAATATTTGTAGCACGTTAAAAATTCAAACAACGAGGCTGTGCTCCTCTGAGACTGGAGCGAGAAAAATGAGAACACCGAGTCACAGCCCTGTGGGACACCCCCTGAAGACTGGTCTGTGAACTGGAGCTGCTGGTTCCACCTGAACATTTCAGGACGTTGTTCTTTATCACCTGAGGATTTGTGCGTTTACCAGGAAGCAAGAAAGGTTCACAGTTGTTTTTCTTTATTTCACAAACAAAAACAGAGAAAAAATAATTTTCTGACATTTATGTAGTTTTCATTTAATTATTATTACAGTAGTCCTTCGTTTATTGCGGGGATCCATACCCTGAAGACCCGCAATAAGTGAAAAACCGTGAAGTAGAAATAGTAGTACAAGTAGTAAGTAGTAGTTTATTTTAATATTCATACATTTATATAAAGGCATTTTAAACCCTTCCCACACTCTTGCAATATTCTAAACAATGTTTCTAAACGCTCTAAAAGAGCACAGCATGTCATGATTTCAACTCTCTGCCTCTGGATGCACTCTTGGCCACGCCCACTTCTCCACTCTGCATGGAGACCAGCTACAGGAGGAAGTTATCCCACAGCTGTGGGCTGCACACAGGTGCCAAATTATTTAAAATAATTTATTTTACATTAAAAATCCATGCCGATCGTGCGGCTCATCCGTCATTCAGCCAATTGTGTGTCATGTCTAATCTTACTTTGAAAAACCACGATAGAGCGAGTCCACGAAAAACTAACCTCGAAGTAACGAGGGACTACTCTATTATAGTTCTTATTAATGAATATCTGTGAATAATCCAAACACATTTTTTCATTTCACAAATCGAGATAAACTTGGCTTCTAAATTAATATTCTGGTAATTCTGAAGAGGTTAGTGTGAAAATTATGTTAATTGCATATATAATAAAATAAAACGTGTAATAAAACTGTGGCTAGTCTGAATGCAGCTAAGACCGAAGTGGACCTCTGTCGTCTAAAATCCACTCTGCTCTTCAAACCTCACTTAATTTTTCTTGATGATGAAGGTCCTACAGGAAGAGTCCCCAGAAGAGCTACAGCTAGCTGCTACTGTTGCTGTTTTTGCGTCCTGGTGTGACCGTTAAAGGTCAAATGGTGTTCGTTTGGCAACGTTTGTTTCCTCAGGTGAGTCACAGGCTTCGCCCTCGCATCGCTGCCTTATTGAACAGGTTTATAAGTTTGTGAGACAACAGTTTAGCTCCCGCGAGTCGGAACGTGCGAGACGACTTCGGAAGGGTTTGGAGACAAAACTAAGAAATTAAATGAGAACAGTCTGAGACAAAATTAAAAAGTTTTGTGATTATATTGCAACCAAAAATACTTCAAACTTCATTTGCAGGAATAGTTCTGTTTATTTACGGTTATTTACTAACAAAAACATGTAAGTACCAATTCAGTGAGATTTCAAATATTTTTACTTTTTATTTTGTTGCAGTCCTGTGTCCCCAAGTATTTAGTCCAAAGAAACACAGTTTTATCTGCGTTCAGACTAGCTCATCAGTTTTATCAGAATAAAACGGTTTCTCCAAACTGAGGCGGTTTAAGGAACTATCTACAGCAGGTAAGATATTGCCTGTTCATAACCTTTCCGCAGAGCTCCACGTCAGATGAGTCTTTTTCTCGGCGCAGTGGTTGAACTCCTGATTTTGCTGTTTTATCCTCTGAATTGTGGTTGAGGTTTTTTCGGCGTCTCGTTGGTACGGGGGGCGGTTTTAATCTCGTTGTCACGGGAACAGTTTGGCCGAGGTTTGGTGTCTGAGCTCAGCAGCTGACAGATCTCTGCACACAGAGATCAATCATCAGGGACAGATCTGATAAATTCATGGATTCTCTGGGGGGGGGGGGGGGGGGATTTTTCTGTCCAAGTCTGTGTTTTTCTTTTCTTTGTGATTAATTAACGTCTGTCTTCACGTTCAGAGCGAGCTGAGCGCTTCAGCCTCAGCTCTGTGCAGTTTTTGTTCTTTTTGCTGTGGTTTTGGGTCGAACCGCTGCTGCTTCTGTTTCTGTTCGGGTCCAGACCTCCATCGTGTCTCATGACTTGTCGGGGGCAGCTCACGCTGTCCTTCATCACTTTTTCTTTTCCTTCATTGGAGTTGATCTGAAAGGATTTCTGTCGAGCACAAAACACGATGTTTCTGTTTTTTTTCTGTTCCCCCATCGCCTCCCCGTCTCGTCGTCTCCTCAGAGTCTCCACCGAGTTTGAGAGAAACGGGAGACCTGAGGGCTCAAGGTGAGCTTACCTGCCCCCTCCCTCTGCCTCCAATGTGTCTCCCCTCCCCACATGTACCAGGATGTAGTTGTCTACAGCAGACAGGAGCCTGTCTGTCTGCCAGATGTTGGGTGGATGATGTTTGAAGCTTCAGCTGATATTCGGCTTCTTGTCTCGTCGTTTCGGCTGCATGGCTCTGCACTCGTGTGCTGCTCCGTAAGCATGGCATGTCTGTTCCTGTCCACAGCCTGAAAACTTGAACTCCGCCGTGACTTCAGCACAAACACTGAACACCAAACGACTGTTTCTGATCCGCGAAAAACCCAGAAAGTCCCAGAAAAACGGTTCTGAAGGTCAAACCCGGTCCGGACTAATTACAGAAGGTTCTGTTTACTTTACGATAACTCAAAGCTCTGTTTATTAAAAGATTTAAAAGATTTGTATGAAAAGCAGCTAAATATCCACAACGCACCACCAGGGGGCGACAGCATCCTCAGCCCAGATAAACAGAAATAATGTAAAACTTTTTTATTCAGTTTTTAACCGTTTTAAAATTTAGAACTCATCGAATCTGGACCCATTCGGACCGCATCAATGAAATCTGTTTTTCCAAACAGACTCTCCTCCAAAGAGGATTTAAAAGTTTTAAAACGACTCCAGTTCTGGTTCCTCATCGAGACGGCTGCTTTTAGAGATCCAACCAGTTGTTTATCTCTGCTTGTAAACAAACAAACAAACGTCTAATTTAAAGCTTTATTTGAACAGACGACAAATAAGACGGACATAAAAACACCGGCAGACGTTAAGATGTGAAACGTTTAATGTTTTAATGTTTATTTTAAAAAGTAAATGTAGCATTAACTTGATATTCTGGGTTTTTCTAAATGAGACTCGGCTCGACGCTGAAGACGAAATGTAGAAAAATGAACTTAAATACAAAATGTGATCCGATTTAAAGCACTTTACACTTCAACAGATTTGTTTATAAAATTTAAAAAATATAAAACTGAACAAATTATTATACATGCAATACATTTAGTTTTTTTGTGTCTTGTTTGTTCTTTGACTAACACACTAAAAGTGACTTCAGCTGCTGTTTTTCATTGAAACGGTTGGTTTTGTGTTCTGACCCTGTTTACACCTCTCTGTAAGTTAAATTTGTTTTGGACGGAGCGGCTGGAGGACTTGGGCTGCACACCCAGTGGCAACGGCGCCCACTTCACCACCGAGCAGCGTCAGCCTTCCTGAAAATTCACTTTGACACGTAAAGGAGACAAACGGAGCCGTTGTTTTTATCATCTTTCAGGGACGGAGCCATCGGTGCTCAGATTGGGTTTGGGATGATGGAGCTGCCATTTTAGCTTTGGCTAAGGTCTATTAGCTGTGGCGGCCATCTTGAATTGAATTGACTTTAGAAGGGTTATTGCACTTTCAGCTAAAGTAATGATAATATAATTATTATTAATAAATAATTATTAAATCTGATTTTTAAGTGCCCAGAGTGGTGTGGGCGGGGCCTAAACCAGACCAACCAGATTTTGATCAAACAGGAGCCATCAGAGCTGAACCGTGTCCTGTTTTGTCTCCTGACAGTCGCCATGTACCTGGGGATCAAAAAGGGGAAAGTAAAGACGGTAAGCCCCGCTCCCTCCGATTCACTTGGAGTATGAGAACCACCAGCTCCATGGAGCCCGGCGACATCATGCGGGAGATCCGTAAGGTCCTGGACGCCAACAGCTGCGACTACGAGCAGCAGGAGAGCTTCCTGCTGCTCTGCGTCCACGGAGACGGGCGGGCTGAGAACCTGGTCCAGTGGGAGATGGAGGTTTGCAAGCTGCCCCGCCTCTCGCTCAACGGCGTCCGCTTCAAACGGATATCCGGGTCGTCCATCGCTTTCAAAAACATTGCTTCCAAAATCGCCAACGAGTTAAAACTATGAAGAAAACGATCTGTGTCCAAATAAATCCACGGAGAGGTATTTAAGCTGTACAATCATCTGAGTAGCAGTTTTTATAACAAACCAGAGTCTGTATTGAATGTTCTGATGTAGATCAAAGCTTTTAGCAATAATGACTAACGTCTCAGTGTGACAGGAAGCCCGGACGACGAATGTGGACACAAAACATTTCTGGTCTTATTTATTTCACCTTTTTATTTTCTGGAGGAGACGACGTAACTTTTGGTTTTGTGTAAATAATGTATCTTTAAAACAATGACGTCACAGATCGTTTTTTTTTTCTTTTTGTATTTTGTTAACAATTAGAAATGGAGAGTCTGTAACGCCCACATGGTCTAAAGGTCACTCGTGTCGCAATTAAAGTGTCTGTCGACTCGAAGGTTCTGTGTGGTCATTGCAGATTAATGGTTTAAACCGTTTGTTGCCCGACTCTTTTACAGCGTTTTCTTTTAAAAAGACCAAATTATTTTGGTGTCACGTTAATTTTATTTCTTTAGTCACAAGTTTACATACACCCAGTTTACCTGCATTTCAGTGGTTTTGGGAAGCCCTGATGATGTCACAGCTGTTAACTGGAATCACACAGTTTCCAAGTCGTCTGGAAGAGTCCACCTCCAGAACTTTCCAGATGTCTGAAGGTTCTACAATGAGAACATTTGACAGACAGGAAACAGGTTCTAGTGTGAAATGAAACACCAGAACTGCTGATGTTGTGAAGAGGTCAGTCCACAGCGAGTCCTGGACCAACATGGACTGAGAACGAAAACGTTCCTCTCAAAGAAACTGTCTAGTTTTGAGACATGTCCTGAGGTCCCATGAGACTCAAACTGAACTGACCAGAACTGCTGGACTGGAGTCCGGTTTATGGACATCGCTCACATTTTTCAGTTCTGCCCACAAATGTGATGTCTGCTCCAGAACATCAGCTCTGTTCTTCAGCCTCTAATTTGTACGCTGAGGGGCATTGTCCACCTGAAGACATGTGTCCAAACTTTAACTTTCTGGCAGTCTTCAGTTTGTCCTGATGCCACCAGCTCACCCCCACCTGCAGAGAAACACCCCCAAATTATGATGCTGCCACCTGTGCTTCAGTTAAGATGGTCCTCTGTTTCCTTCCAAATGTCAGGGGGAGCGGGACAAGTCCAGCACACGTTTGTGTAAGGAAACTGAACGTTTGACCTGACTGAGTTTGAAGATTCATTTAATGGACCTGAACCTCGACTGATTTATTGAGACATATGTAAACATCTGGTTTCAGCAGTCATCTTCCTTCTGACCCAGTTCTGGTCTGATGTTTGAACTTCAGAGAAATTATCACGAGTTTCAACATGAACTTTATTTCCTCACACCTTCACAGGAATGTTTTCAACTTAAATACACAATAACCAGCAACACAGAGCGGACAGTCAGGGGAAGAGGGGGCGGGGCTACTTCTGGGCTGGGATCAGGTCATCGATGGACTGACCCTTCTCCAGCTTCTTCTCCATGTCCACCAGCAGCTTGACTCCATCCACCACCATCTGCACCAGCTCCACCTCAGAGAAGCCCAGCCTGTCAGCATTGGAGATGTCAAAGACTCCACCCACTGCAGCCGTGTCCACGCCACCTGATGGAGAGATGAACGCTCAGGTGACACGCTGAACGCAGGAAGTGAAAGCTTTTTACATTTGATGTAACGCAGCTCTGCTCACCAGTTCCACGTTTCTGGAGCCTCAGTCTCTTGAGGATCTCCTCAAACTTTGCGTGTTTGCTCATGTTGGGCAGCTTCACATGCACGCCTGCGCGCAGGCCGGTCCCCAGGTTGGACGGACAGGTGAGGATGTAACCCAGGTGCTCGTTCCACATGAAGGCGTGGCTCCGCTCCTTGAACAGGCTCTCGATCTGAACACAACAGGAGGTTCAGTTTTGACACGGGCTCAGAGTCGTTTTAAAAACCAGCTGAGGGGGGGTTTACCCTCCTGCCCCACCTTGGAGAGTCCGGTACAGAACCGGGTGAACACCTCCTTCATGTTCCCTCCTTTCTGCATGGAGATGACCCTCAGGTGGTCCTCCTCGTTCACCCACACCAGGAACGTCTTGTTGTCATTGTGCCTGAAGGAAACGCTGTTAGACTCTGAGGAACATCGAGCAGAGACTGGATCAAGCTCGGGTCTTACCAGATCCCCCGGGCGTCGGGCCAGTCCCGGGCCATTCCTGAGGCCAGCAGCAGAGGAGACACGGGCTTGTCAAACAGGAAGTGGTCATCGATGAGCTGCTGCTGCTCAGCATCACTCATGTTCTTCAGAGCGTAGTATTTGCCCTTCAGGTCTCCAGTCAGAGCGTCCAGGGCTTCAGAGAAAGTCGGAAACAAAAAAAAAAGGTCACAAATCAACGACTCTGAACTGGGTCGGTCCCGTGAGCCCAAATTCATTAAATTCAACACAAAGTTTCAATTAATGACATTTTAAAAGCACATTTTTAAAGATCAAAGTGTTTTAGCTTTAGGGTTGAACCTGAAGTTTACCATACACCTGTTGGCCTGCACCAACCTCATGAAGCCACCAGGGGGCACTCTGAACTACAGATTACTGCTTGGAACCCATCAGAACCCCCGGGGGTCTTTACCTTCGATTGAGAGCTTCTCCACAGCCCTTCGCTCTCCTCGGCTGCAGTGGGGGGGCAGACAGAAACCGCGGACACTGCGACCCGTTCGGACCCGGGAGCTCAGAACATAGTTGGGGTCAAGGTCATCTCCACCCTGAAAACACACACATAACTCAGTGCAGGCCCAGACCAGGTCCAGTCTGAACCCTGGGTGGGGTGTAGGTGACAGAGCTGCAGTACCTTCAGGTTGCTGGCCTCCAGGTCCGTCTTGTGTTTGTCTGTGGGTTTGTATCCTCCATGCCGGTCCTGAATCACAGGGTCCAGCAGGTCTTTGAAGACCTCGTAGGTCTCCTCATCTCCAGCAACGCAGCCCACAGTCATGATGAAGGGGTGACCTGAACACAGGGTCCACAGGGTCACACACAGGCCTACATCCTCACGGGTCTCAGGATGGGTTCTGTTACTGTACCAGGATTGTCAACCCCTGTCTGAATGACATCATCTATGGTGACTCCATTGGGTGTGGCCCTCTCTCTCAGGGCCCCGTACATGCTCAGGGTTAAAACTTTGGCCATAAGGCTGTGGCACTGACTCAGATCTGGATACTCCTCCTCAGCTGACCGCCTCTTCACAGTCAGTGCGGCCATTTTCTCAGAGCTAAAAACACAAATGTCTACAGGATGAGGAAGGGCTGCTTGGCACAGGACACACATTACATTTAAAGGAGTCCAACAGGACAGAAAAACCAGTTGGACCTGGGGGAACAGTTCTGGATTATCAACAGCTGCCGTTTAGAAATTGCGTAACCGTTAATCTAAAGCATCTGCTCTGAGGTTACGCAATAACGTTCTGAAAAGAGGCCCACTTGGAGGAAGTTTCAAAGAATCAGTTCTCCATGTGTCTGCAAATCCTGCCCGGGTTTCTCCTGAGGTCACAGTGCAAACAGAACCACACTCCCTCAAACAGAACCCAATTCACTCAGACAGAACCCATGCAGGTCAGCTTAAAAAATATACATATAAAAGATTTATATATATATATATATATCATTTTTTTTAAGTTGAAGTTCATTTACCTGGGTTATCAACCCCAGTCTGGATGACGTCATCCAAAGTAAATCCATTGGGGGTTTCTTTGCTCCTCAGGCGGTCGTACAGGTCCTGGGTCAGAACCTTGGCCATATGATTGTTGTGTTTACTGAGGTCGGGATATTCCTCCTCCGAGGAGAACTTCAGCTTCACCTGATTGTGAGTGTTACCAAAAGGCATGGCTGTTTCCTGGAGAGACACGCGACAACAGTCCAACTGCCTTTAATTAACACGGACAACCTGTACAGACCGAACAAACTGATCCCAATTCACTAAACCGTCCAGTCATTAAACAATGTCCCAAAGTTCAGTGGAATCGCTCCTACCTGATGTTTCCGGACCTGGGGATGAAATTATTGTCAGAGTTCTGTTGTTCGGAGTGAGGAGCTCAGAAACCCGCAGCACCGTCAGGAGCGTCTCGGGCTCAGAAGGGTTTATAACAGAACTTCTCGGTTCTTATTGGTCGGTATTTCTAGTTCATTCATTCAATTGGACACGTGGACTCAGACTGCCTCGCTGCGGCTTACACCGGTACTTTAATCAAAATGTAGATAAAAAAATTAAAACTGCAACTAGTAGAAATACAACTAGTTCCTTTTTCCTGAGAGTATTTTTAAATTTAAAGTAAAATTTTCAAAAGGTTTGTACAAATGCCCCTTTTACTATGAATGTCAATTATTTGTTTACATTTTACAACTTAAATATAGTTTGCGTATGTAAATACAAATAGTACATACATTGATGTTTATGAGATTTTAAGCTTTAAAAATCTCCAGCTCAGCTTTTCGGAAAATCCGCACAGCGGGTTGGGTGATTCGCTTCAACTTCCGGTCTTTGTGACGCTACTTCCGCTGAAAACAACTCCACATGTTCGTCTAATGAGGTTAGCTCTTACTTCTTTCCACATGCGCTGCACTTTTTCATGTAAGAAGACTACTTTACTGTTTTATTTTTATTTGTTGAACAACTGAAAGAGTACCTAGGTCCATTTTCAACGGCTCTTTAGAGCCTCAAAATAAACCGTCAGCAACAGAAGCTAGCTCTGCTAACACTAGCAGACAATTTACTAGCTCAAACAAAAAAGTTGTTTTCATATATATAATAATAATAATAATTGTTTTACAGACTTTATCTGGGCAGGCAACGTAAATAGAAAGTTGTGCAAACGTTTTTAACGGTTATTGAGGTTCTAAACGACCGTTGGGCCAGTGATAACCGTAACTAGCTAAGCTAACGTTAGCATATCGAGTTAAAACAACTCATTCATACTAAATCATTAGTTTGTATATAATCGCACGTTACCTGAAAATTAATAGAACAGCCTAAAGAGAAAACAGTTCTGAAAGTTTTTTTTTAACGTTGTGATTCTTAAATGATCTTTAGCCAACAGTTACAGGAATTAGCTAAGCTACTTGACGAGAAAGTTGCCCCAACGTTTTTAACGGTTCTTCTGCGCAAGCTATCCAACTTAGCATGCCATACCAAAATGGTTAAAACATTCAAAATCAGTTCTTTCATATTTAAACACACTTTATGTTTGCAGTCTTGTTGCACTGTGACCTCTGTAGGTTCCGGGTTTGATGCAGCACTAATTAATTTCAAGATTGAGAAAAAAAAAAGTCTCTCTGTCCCGTTATTCTCGGCAGGATAACGGTTAACTGACTTTAACCAGTTACTAAAACTTATTACTAAATTACTAAAACATATATTTGATTCGAGTTTCTCTTCATTTACATTAATGACCGACTTATTTAACTTAAGGTGATAAAATATATTTTAGTATTTAAACCTAAAACCGTTCAACGGTAAACAGGAAAAAGTGCCAGCAATCTTTAAATTCATGTGTATATTTCCTAAAAAGACGAGCAATAAAGATATAAAATCACTTCACTTACAGCTCCTTTATGTCTTGAGATTGAGACATTTTTCCTTCTACTGCAGTTCGTCTTTTCGGTTTGATGAATCTGATCTTTTAAAGTACAACTGTATCAGTTTTCCAATTAAAACAGTTACAGTGGTTACTATGGCAACGATGAACCTGGAGGGAATCAAATTTAAAAAACTTTATTTATAAATCACGCTTAAAACAAAACCACAAAATAACTGTCTTATCTTCAAAATATTCAAGTGAATAAAAAAAGAAATATTAAAACGTTTAATTAAAAAATACTGAAAACATATATTATTAAAATTCATTGAAAAAGTGACTGAAATTAGAAAAAAATATTTCATCTGCAAAATGTTGTGAATGCTAAGAGCTAAATAACTGCTGATGTACCTGAAACTGAAGTGATGAAGTTAAAACAATCAGAAGAACACAAGCTGAAATGATCAATACAAAACTAAAATTAGCCAAACAATAGCTAAAAACTAAAATAAGCTCAAAGCTACAGTCAGCTGAACAGTAGCTGAAGGTTAGTTGACAAACGGCAACGAAAAGCCTTAAATAAAACAAGTATACTGAAGCACATTTCAACAGAAACCATTTTTAAAGGATTGGAACAATTTTTTATGCATTTATATGGAAGAAACTACAGATAAATAGTTCAAAATGTATAAAAGCTGGAAGGACCCACATCCCCCAATATTTGTACATTGGAAAAGAGAAGTGAAGTATATTCATCTAGAAATAATAAGATATACCCCGAATGGTTCCTGTTAAAAGATTTTGGGACACTTGGCAGCCATTTCCGTTGTACTGGTATGTGGAAAACATGTCAGTACCTGTGTAATTCATTTATGTATGTATGAATGATCCAGTGTGGGAGGGGTTTTTGTTCCTTGTGTTTTGTATGTTCAAAATGAAAAAAAGAAATGAAAAAGACTGTAATTAAAAGATTTGTATAAAAATTACAAAATGAAAAGTCGTAGCTGTAATGTCCTGAATGACCTGAATGTTTTGATGCTTAAATGGCTAAAATAGCTGAAGTAGTTGGTCTACAAATGCTTAAAGAATAAACAAGAAAACAAAACAAATTGTTGACTCAGCATTCACTCCATACTTAAAATGATAAAACCATAACATATAAATAATGGCCAAAGAAAATAAAAGTCTTAAAGGGGCAGTCTGATGGTTTTAAATTATGTTAGAATTTAATTTTGAATCTTGCTTGGCTGCTGTTGGAGGGGACGTTTTAATTTGATGTTTCTGCTTCAACAGCAACAAATAAACAAATATGGGTAAACAGCAGTTTCTTCCTCATTAGTGGGTTGTGTTATTGTCATGATGGTGATAACGTCTTTAAAATATATTTTTGTCATGAGTAAAGGTCACTTCCTGTTCTTGCAGACGGACCCGGCCCACCATGAGTTTTGTGGAATATTCGGACCTCATCCAGGACGGAGACGTCGTCATCGTTTACATGGGCCACAACTCCGTGATGCCCGTCAAAGTGCAGCACGGCAGCCAGACACAGACCCGCTATGGAGCCATCCGGCACTCCTCGGACCTCATCGGCCAGCGCTACGGGTCAAAGGTCACGTGCAGCAAAGGCGGGTGGGTGCTGGTGCTTCACCCCACGCCAGAACTCTGGACCGTGTGCCTGCCTCACCGCACACAGATCCTGTACACAACAGACATCTCTGTCATCACCATGATGCTGGAGCTGAAGCCCGGATCAGTTGTCTGCGAGTCAGGTGAGAGCTGCCACCTTTGGGTCAGGTGTGTCTGTGAGAAACTAGAGCTGCTCGGAACCAGAGTTGGGCATTTGGATCCATGAAGGGTGGAACTGTTGGCAACAAAAGATGCAAAATGTTGAAGAAATTAGATTTGATATGATGTTTGTGCTCAGATGTTGTTGGGAGGAGGAGGATTGAGGCGTGGAGGTGCCGTCCTCAGCAACATATCCATGAAACGTTAAACTGAACTTAGGTTCTGATGGAAGCAGGAAAACATGCTAAAAGCAGCTGACTGCTGGCTGTAACTGATTTACAGTTACAGCCTGTTATTGTGGGTAAAATGACAGATTACACTCTGAAACCCTTAAAACATGTTATTACTGTATGAGAGGACAAACCTCACCCAGACGGACGCTTCACTGTGGAGAACTAAAAATAAGTCATGAAATAAAATCTTCTGTCAGTTGTTACCATAGCACTTTATTAATAAAACACTTGATAAACAGCAACAAGGCCAACCAAAGTGCTGTTAATACAAATAAAACATAAAACCCATAAAACCTGAAGTAAAGATGTCAAGCAAGTAAAAGGAACAAATGCATGACGAGTCAAATGCTCTAAATTGGAACCCGTTTGGGTCAGCACCGGCCACAGCTGGCACTGTATGAACTCTGATCACATTTCTCTGATAATCAAAGAAAACATAAAAAAAAACATATTCTGAAGTGAGGTTCTGTGGTAAAGTTATAAAAAGTATCTTAACTGTTGCAGATGGCTCTGACCTCAGTTTGGAGCTTGACAGAACTGATGAGCTAAAGGCTAGTCTGAGCACAGCTAATACTAAAGTGGATCACTGTTGTCTCAGTTATTTCACCTCGGTTTATGTGACTACTTATTTAAACGTTTACACTGCAGTCAGCTATTATTTTATTTTGGCAGAAATATAAAATTCCTGAAGGAAGTGGCACTGGCCTGCACAGGAAGTACTACAGCTAGCTTCTGATTCTACTGGTGCTTGCAAATAATCGTATATTTTTTTGTAAACAATGTGATTAAATTCATAAAATGGCCTTCAAATGATTTGCTCTAAAGTTCTTTAAAGATGGCTGTGGTTGAACCAACACGGTCTCCCTGCTGGCACACAAATAAACCGACGCTGATTTGTTGTAATTTTGGAGCCAGAATCTGCACTCTGCATCGCCATTTGATAAAAACAAGATGTCTGACAGCAACGCAGAAGCTGAAGCCACAACAGTACCAGTACACGATTTAGTCCCGCCCCCTGCACAAAAAGACACAAGATGTTTGTCTGACTAGAAACAAGAACAGATTTTATTTTTCAAGTGCGACTCACATGATTCATGCAGTTCTTATTTAGCTGTTTGTTCAAATATTTAGTTTTCTGACAAGTTTAGCTGGAATCAGTTAGTTCATGCTTTATTTAAAAAAAAAAAAATCATGTGATGCCATGATTGTAGGCGGGGCTTAAAGCACAGATTCTGGACTCAGCGCACTGTCTTGGCATGTTTAAGGTATTCGGTTTTAGGTTTGACCTAGCTGTTGGGTCATCAGTTCTGTTAGAATTACTGCATTCCTTCAAACTGAGCTTGATCAAAATGCTATCCACGACAGGTACGATATTGTTTACTTTAAAAAAAAAAAAAACTCACTTTATCATGGCCAGAAATTTCATGTTTAATAATTGTTAAATAACTTAATGTCTCCAATTTAGCAGGTTAGTGAGAAAGAATGACACCCAGGTGTTTTTATGTCTCACCGAGGTGCCGATCATCGCTTCATTTGTCTCACGTTGGTAACGATCACTTTCTGTGGAGAAGGGATCTTCTTACAAACACAGATGTGTTGTCACGTAGTCATGCCGACCCGGTTCTAATGGTCTAATGTAGTGGTGGCATCGAGCCTTTGGTCGCACGTGTATCAGCTGCACACTGAGGAGGTAAAATTCCCACATAGCCGACAAACATCCAGATCAGGGAAGCGACACGAGCAGCAGCTCCAATCTGAACCATGAGTGTTTTCCTGAAAATAAAACAGGAGGTGGGGGGTGGACTTGGAGGCGCTGTTGGTTCGACTGTTTGCTTCCGAAGTAAACCGAGCAGGAGTCCAGATCATCGTGTGGAGTCGGCACCACCTGTACAGGGGCCTGCTACTCTGTAAAAATGATGTTGTTCCTTCATAGTGTGCAGATGAGTGAAAACCAGCAGCTAGTGTGCGCTTTAAATGGACTTTATGTAAAACACAGCTCAGGTACGACCGGAGCAACAAACTCCACACTCATTCACCTCAGCCGGGCTTTTTTTTGGCTCGACAAAGCCTAAAACTCTGTTCAGAACCGGCAGGTTACCAAGGTTATATCCTTTATTTGTTCTCACAGAACGGAGGGATTCAGACGAACTAACAACTAAAAGGAGCAAGATGCTAGCTACAAAAGTGGGTAAAAGTTAGCTAAAAGCTAAATATTGCAAAAGTTTGGCTATAGAATTTGGCAAAAGAATAGTAAAAATTAAAATTATCAAAAGGCTAACTAAAAGAAACAAAACAGTTGCTAAAATCTAAACGTAGCTAAAGGATAGCTAAAAGGCAATAGCAGCAAAAGCTAAATCTAGCTAAAGTTTAGCTACAAGCTGAATGTAGCAAAACACTATCCAAAAGCAAAAAAGGTTAGGTAATAGCTAAGTATTGCAAAAGGTTAGCTATAAGCTAATTGTAGCAAAGGGCTAGCTAAGATTATCAAACATGATTGCAAAACTAAAAGTTGTGAAATGCTAGCTAAACGCAGAAAAAGACCTGCTAAAAGTATCAATAGGCGAGTTAGAAACTGAAAGTAACACAATAGCAAGCAATCTTAGAGGAGCAGAACAGTAGCTAAAATCTAAAAGTTGTCCAAGAATAACTAAAAGCAGCCAAATGTTAGCTATTAGCTAAATGTAGCAAAAGGCTAGCTAAAACAACAAGTAGCAGAATGCTAACTAAAAATAGCTTAAAAAGACCAAACTCTCAGATTTAAGTGTTTTTGAAGGAACAGAAGAGTTCCATGTATTTCTGTGGTCAGAGGACAGCAGCTGAACGTTTTCCTCTCCGTCCTCAGTTCTGTTAGCTTCGGAAACAATAAGTCACGACTTCTGTGGCCCTTTCCAACAGTTTCCAAGCAGCTGCTTCTCACGTGCGGCTCAGACTGAAACTCATCTGAGAAGTTTATGTTTTTATAACCTGGAAACTGCTGAAGACATGAGTCTGACTGCAAACCCTTTGTCGTCTTCTTTAGATTTGGACATTTTGTCCCCTTACAGTCCAATCTAATCTGTGTTTTAATGCAAACAGGATTTTTAAAAAGATATGTTTTGCATCAAGCTCCTGACATTCAAAGCAGCAGCTCAGACCTGAACAATGACCATTTTTCTATCGGACCTCAAATTAAGGGATATATATTTTTGTTTTCTTGTGGGTTTTTGGAGCCTGGAAATAAAGACGTGTTGCTGTAGTCCCACATTTTTTTGTCCCACCTTGTGAAGCGAGGAGGGGACTTGGAAATATCCTTCATCCGTCTGTCTGCTTCATCTAGTTAGCTGAATAACTACAAAAATAAGTGAGGTGCCAACTTCCATTTTGGTGTGTGGCTACACCTGGGCCTAAGATCATTGTTGATGCTTCCTAGTTTTTTTATTGCTTCAAAGTAAAGTTTCCTCAAATAATTGGAGTAGCCAAAGACTTTTGGTTGTGAAAGTTCTGCTGTCGGATGAACACTGCTCTCTTTGTGGCCGTCCTAACAAAGACGCTGCTGACACGATGTCAGGAAGAGGACGGGTGGAGGACTGCTTCTAACTCTCCATCACCCTCCTTTGTCTGTAAATCACATGATGAGGGCGACTTCTCCCTGCCATCCTCAGGCAGCGTGTGAATAAACAGGAAGTGGAAATGAAGCATCCACTTCAGTGTGTTCGGAGCTGGACTCGAGACAGATCTGTCCTTTCTGAGGTGGAACACCTGATGTCTGAATATGATCACGGACGAGTTGTTTACCTTCAATTTTAAACAGGAAGTTCAGTTTTCATCTAACCTCCACCCTGACACCACCCTGTTTTATATAACCAGACATAATAAAATATTTAAATATTATTTGACCTGTTTTGTGCGATCAGAAGCTCGTGTTTTCCCTCAGACTGTATCTTCTTCTCCCTCCTGGTTTTCCAGGTACCGGCAGCGGCTCCCTCTCCCACGCCATCCTGCGCACCGTCGCCCCCACGGGTCACCTCCACACGGTGGAGTTTCACGAGCAGCGGGCTCAGAAGGTGGCCGAGGAGTTCAAGGAGCATCGAGTGGACCACCTGGTCACCGTCAGGAACCAGGACGTGTGCAAGGACGGCTTTGGGGTGACGGGGGTGGCAGACGCAGTCTTCCTGGACATCCCCAGTCCCTGGGACGCGGTGGGACACGCCAAGTCTGCTCTGAAGAAGCACGGTAAGAGGGTCAGACGAGCTGGGCCAGGTTGTGTTTCTCTGTATTTCATACAATCAGCATCTGCTTCGTTACACCTGGACTGTCCAGAGTCTGTGCAGCATCGGCCGTGGGGTGTAATGTTTGTTGGGGGGTGGGGGGGGGGGGGGGTGAGGACGAAACAATCAGCTGGAAAAAAACATTTATTTTAGCTAAAACTAAAAAGATGAATGTTTGCTTTTTTAGGGCGGCTGTGGCTGAGTGGTTAGAGCAGTCGTCCTCCAATGCGAGAGTTGGGGGTTCAAATCCACCAGCAGTCACATGCCAAAGTGTCCCTGGGCAAGACACTGAACCCCTCATTGCCTCCGATGTGTGCCCCATTGGTGTATGAATGTGATAAAACACTGATTATTCTCTTTAGAATGTTTTGTTCAATTAGTTTTGTATAGATGTAGTAGAGTGCTGTGTGACTGGGTTCATGAGGCACAGATTGTGTTGTAAAGCGCTTTGAGTGTCTTGATAAGACATAAGTACAGTCCTTTACAATTTAGACTTTATAATCACGTTTGATTGATCAGTATGGTCAGCTGTTGGCCTGTAGAACCCTCCTTCTTTCTACTCATGTCTGTTTTCATTAGTTTTTTTGCACAAAGTCGGTTTGTATAAAAACAAAAATAAGGACCATCTCTGGTTCCTGAGCTCCAGTGGGGCCTGGTAACAGCAGCACTTAACATCTTAATGCACTTTAACTCTCCTCTGGAGCTGTTAGATCACATCGAGTGATGCTGAGCGAGCATATCTGTCTGCAGGCGTCTGTAAACATCTCAGCATGATGAGATCCAGTCAGAGCAGGATCGTTAGAGCTTCGCATCAAGTCCAGCAACAAAACAGGGAAGAAATTCTGAGCAGGAAATAAACTGCAGAAGTCTTGAACTAAGCCTGATTTATTTATTTCAGTTTGCTTCCACTGAGTTCTGTAGTTCACCCTCTCAATGTCTGTCAGAGTTTTTCCCTGAACGTTGGACATGTCCACCACAAAAGTTATAAAGGGGAAGTCATAGTTGTTTTTTTTTATGTGTGATATTTAGGAACTCACGGTGGACGTGTCTGCAGACAATCACCACCACCTGATGGGGTGTTTCTGTGATTCGTCCTGCCACCTCAGGACTGTGACTGAGCACGTTTTAAATTTATCCACCACCCCCTGGTGTATCTTTTCTGCTCCAGAACCGCCATCCTCCTCTCCGTGTCAGTCCGCAGTTACAGGAGAAACTAATAAACCGAGGTGGAGAAACAGAAAGCGTGTCGGGGTCTCTGTGGTAACCGGGACCTGCAGCGTGTCCGGGCAGGTCCTCGGTTTACTCAGAGGTGACATCGCATCTTGCAGGTCATCTACTGCTGATAGGCTCCGAGTTCAACATCTTCACAAAGAAATGAGGGTTGGCTTTAAAAAAGGGGGGGAGAACGAAACAATCAGCTGAAAAAATACTTTTATTTTATAGGGATGCACGATATTATCGGCATGGTATCGGTATCAGACGATATTAGCGATAAAGTTAAATATCGGACAGCGGCCATTCCATCAGAAAAACTCACCGATATAAAAGGCTTCTGTTTTAAGTTAATTTTTAATTTAAGAAACCTCCTCTATGTGTATTTTATCGTGACGCACCGCCATGATAAAAAAACAAGCCGCCACACCGTCAAAATAAAGGTTTATATAGAATTGAAATAAATTTAGTATCACGAATAATTTCAACAATTTTTTAAATCCATCCAGAGCACCTGACTTTATTTTGTTAGATGTCTCTAAAATAATTATTGAATCAAGTGTTTACAAATGTAGGTAAACGTAGATGTTTATCAACCCGTTAAAATACACCAGAACTACTACTTATGCACTTGTCGCTTGTGAACATGTTGAGTTTAGATTTGTGAGAATTTACAAATTTGCACTGTTCAAGTGTTGTCATTGTGTTAGAGTAAATGTCATGAATAAATTTGACATTAAATATAATCCAAGTTAAGTGTTACATCATTTTCAGACCCCTTTCTGGCATCTGCATGTGGTAGCAGGCCAAACTGACAAAGACCATGCAGAGTAATGTCATATTTTAATTCCACAGCAGAAAAGGCTGTGTAGTCTCTGTAAGTAGGTGTAGGGGGAAAATATCAGTACTGGTATCAGTTATCAGCCAAATAAGTTTTAACGTATCGGATATCGGCCAAAAATCCAATATCGTGCATCCCTATATTTTAGCTTAAAAAGGATGAGTGTTGGCTGGATTGATAAACAGATGACTGTTGAATGAATAGATGGACGTCAGTTGGATGTATGTTGGATGTACGTTGGTTGAATGTTGGATGATGTGTCTCAGTTCCTGTTTTCCTCAGTTGATTAAAGTTTAATTTCTCCTCCAGGAGAAGTAAAAACTTGTTTCATCTGAATTTATAAATATTTCAAATGGTTTTGTTTTTTCCCCTCTCGGTTTAAAGAAATAAACTCAGTCAAAGGTTCAGTTGTTGGTTTCGCTCTCAGAGTTTCCTACAGGACATAAACGCAGCACGGTTCTGAACACGGACCCAGTTCACTGAAGAATTCACCCTCCTCTTCCTCCTCCTCACCACCAACTCCCTTTTATGGTGCCACAGCTACATATTCCTTTTATATAAGCTGTTGGCCTTCACACACACACACACACACACACACACACACACACACAGATAAATAGTATGCTGGCAGTTCGCTGCTGCAGAGGCAGTCCCATGACCATACTGGGTATGGCTGCGAGCAGAGACCTGCTGAATGTGGCTCACAAGGAAAAACATTAATTTACTGCTCAGACTCTGCAGCTCATCGCCGCTCCAACATCACATCAGCTACGTCCATAGAGATGTCGGCGTTGACCAAACGAACCCGGATAGATGTCGATGTGGAGTGTCCGTCTTTGAGGCAGCTTTAGGACAGAAAGCTGCTCTGGTCAGAGCGACACAATGCAGTTTTTGTGTCGCCTCGTGAAGTGAAAGACGACGTTTATCTTTTATTTAAGAGATCTGTTTCCTGGTAATTTAGATTTCTTTCAAAGTAACAGACAAAATCTAAACACAAAAATAAAAATTTGTGCCTCCACCGAGACAAAATCAGCCCAAACATATATTGATCTGGAGAGCTAGCATGGGTGCTGAATAACAGCTGATTGTTGTGAAGAATGAGTTGTTAGCTGAAGTGTTAAAGCTAAAAACTAGCTGAAAAACCTAAATTAGCAAAGCAAGAGCTAAATGCAAAAGTTGGCCAGATTATAGTTAAAAGTAGCCAAAGAAGCCAAAAACAGAAGCCAAAGCAGATTTCAGAAAAAAGATTTTAAATAAATCTTAAATTTTAAACAGACAGGTTTCTACAGAGAAAGCCTTTAAATAAAGTAATCCAAAAAATATAAAAGGCATAACGTTGTGTTCCTGATGGAGCTGAACGTTTTGATGAATAAACAAAATAGAACAACCGTAATAAAGATAAACAGGAAACGCTCTCTGTAAACTTTATTTTTATGTTTTTAAATTGCTTCTCTCTGGCTGGAAGACAAGTTGCCGTGAGTTATTCTGCAGATGCAGAAACACTTTTTCCCTCCAAGCTGTACCGGTCTTCATGTTCTGGCTGCGGTCCTGGTCTCTGAGCGGGAACCCCCCACCCCCAACAGTCTGAGAGGAACTCTCCCCCCTCCCCGCTTCCTCTCAGTCTGTGTTACATAACATTGTATCACGAAGCCGACGTGGCTCAGCGCCGCTCGTGTTGCCTCTGGTTTCACATTAGATGATTTTAATAACCGCTCTGTGTAATGATCAACCCGGCGGCTGTTCGACCCGGTTACCAGAACACCATAAAGTTCTGCTTGTTTCAGGGAGCCGAGGAGCGGCTGCAATCTGAAATATGCTGCGGTCTGATGTAATGGCTGCCAGACACAAAGCCCTCCTCAGAATTCCTCCTGATTTTATCTCCACTCCCCGTCAGCCGCGCCTCGGAGAACCTAAAGCTGCGTCACTTCCAGAACCTTTGGGTGTTCAGAACCCCAAGATACAGAACAAACAAGGCTCTGAAGGAACCTGGAGGCTGATTTACTGTTCTGGTTAAGACAGAACGTGACTTTTTTTATGATCCGAGTCAAAACAAAAACGCTGATCAGCTCCTGGGGTCAAAGGTCAGAGACGGAGGACGTGCACGGCCATGATGACGTTTACGAGTCCTTTAAGACTTTGTTCACTCTGAAGTAGATGAGAATGTTTATTGCTCCCCTTCAGGTCCACAAAAGACGTTTACCCTTTTTTGTGTTCCACACTTGTTTTGCTGATGAACCTACAAGAAATCAGCTGAATAAACTTCACAGCATCAAATTTAGTTTGGCTCAGATTTTTCCAGGCGCTATAGGCATTTTGGGGGGACTAGTAGGGTTTTACAAGTCGTTAATCCGCCCGTTTATTAAAAGTCGGCAGCAGGTTTGTTTCTCCTCTGAATGACAGAAAACTTAAGTGTAGTTACATTTGCTCTTCTAGCTGCACTTACTGTTTAGTGACACCTACAGGTCAGGAGGGGAACTGCAGCAGCACCGGTGTAAACAGCAGCAAACCTTGAAACTGTGCTTCAATCTGAATCAACTGATGCTTCTGAACAAAAACGTTTTTTATTGTTTTTATGATGTTAAAAATTAATTTTGCTTCTCCCTGCTGAGTAGGGCTGAACGATTTTGGAAAATATTCGAATTGCGATTTTATTTTTTTTTTACCTCAGTATTGCGATTTAATATGCGATTATTTTTCGGTGTCTTCTTCTCGTGTATTTTTCAACGAACACAAGCAATAAATCTGTTTCAGTTGCAAAAAAAAACTCCACTGTTTTCAGATCTGCTGCAACTTTGCTCTGCATTTTTTTTGTCGCTCCAGGATAGCAACTTGGCTAAAATGTGTGCGCGAGGGCGTTCTGTACTGCTCATCCATCGTGTTTACCAAAGCCGTAAACCCAGGCTTGGTCACTATGGGCATCATGTCTTTCGCTGTGAACTCGGTTATTGCTCGAGTTATTTCCACGTGTTGTTTTGAATTATGTTCATACGGAGTAATACCTTCGAACAGTTCGGTCAGTGATCCCTGTAGGCTGGTACTTTACTTACTTAAAGTTGAAGCACTGGTCGTAGCATTCTAGCCATGCAACTATCGTAAATGGATTTTTTTTTTTTTTTTAGTGTTGATAAAGATTTGTGTTGTTTCCTCGAGAGTCAGCAACAAGGCAGGTTCCGCACAACACGTTATTGCACAGAGTCTTCTTTGTTATAGCCAAAATAATTCCAAACAATGGACGTGCCCCTCTTTGGTACCAAACTTTCAGATGTGTCTGTTTCTGTCGAGCCTGACGCCACTGTGCAACCACTTCTCCTGCTCCCTGCTCTGCTTCTCTCCGCTCACTCACAAGTCACGTAACCAGTCAAACTGCAGCCTTTGTGATTAGGAAATCTTGTATTATCTCATTGCAATATCATTGCAAATGTAAAATTGTTCTGCAAACTAGACCTGCTCACGAGCAGCCATTTTTCATTAGATACTAAATAATTAATCTCAATAACTGGAATCGGATCATTACTTTTTTTTTTTTTTTGGGTGTATATTGTGTTGAATCAAAACTCATTGAATCGTATCGTGATTAAAAGTTGAATGACTCCATCTTTAATTAATCTGATCTTTGCAGTGCATCAAGTCTCCTATGGAGGAGATGCTCAGACTCACTTGGCTCCGAAACTTTTGTATTTACATTAAATGAAAACTTTAAACGGGTTTCGTTAAAATCCATCCTTTTGCTCATAAGATATTTTACTAACAGACAAACACAAGCAAAAACAAACCTTTCAGCAGAGGGTGATACTGAAGTCCGTCAGAACTTCAAGAACAGAAAATCTTTGCAGGGATTCTACTCTTGTAAGAGTAGAAGGTTTATTCTTTGAGTCTTAAAGACTAATAATCCCAACCAGATAAAAACATAATCTGACACGGCAGCATCTAAAAGCACAGCCTGCAGTTTGTAGACCACCAGAAGACCACCTGATGGTCTCATGCACTCAAGATATCACCTACAGGCCTTGACTCTTGAGAGAAACCCTGAGAGGATTACAGCAGGAGGCGGAGCAATACTCCAAGAGGCGGGGCAGCACATGCAGAAGGCGGGGTCAGAGGAGAGGACAGTGTGACTCTGATCTGCTCCGGATTCGAAAAAACAAAACTTAATCTTGTTTTTTTTTTTTTTTTTTTTTCCGAATTGCAGAGGTTGAGCTTTCAAAGGAAAATGGGTTATCAATAATATTTATCTGTCAGTAAAATATCTTATAAATCACTGGGCAATCTTATGCCAGTCTGGTTTGTTTGTGTTGCGTCTCCCGCAGGAGGCCGGCTCTGCTCCTTCTCTCCGTGCATCGAGCAGGTCCAGAGGACATGCGAGGCGCTGGCGGATCACGGCTTCCAGGAGATCAGCACCTTAGAGGTCCTGCTGAGGGTCCACGACGTCCGAACCATCTCCCTGCCTCTGCCCGACTTCGGCCCAGACCATTCCGCTCCCTCTGAGCCACGCACTACAGAGGAGGCTCCTCCCACTGCCACTCTAAGTCCCGCCTCCATCTCCATAAAGACGACCACGCCACCCAGAGAGATGCCGGGTCACACAGGGTACCTCACCTTCGCTACCAAACCCAGAACCTGAAGGTGGAGCAGGTTCTCCTCCTGGTGTCATTTGATATTTGGGTCAAACAGAACCGAGCTTCAGTTTTCTGTTACTGTAGAGCCGGTTCAGTTTCCTGTTACCGGACCGCTGCTTGCATCAAGCAGGAGTTAAAATCAGACAACAGTAGTTTAATTATTATAATTTTATATAAAAATCACTTTACTGCCCTGAAGTGTGGGGTTTATTTTTCCTTTTGACACTTTGATGTGAGTCAAAACAATAAACAAGTAAAAATAACTTTATTTTTGTTGTTTCACAGCTGCAGTCTGTTGATTTAATAGTTTTATTGACTAATTTTACTAATAAAACATGGAGCCAAAGGATTGTTTTGTTTTTAATCACAGGTGGGCGATAAAAGTCTTCTTTGTCTGTCAGAAAAATATCTCATGAACCACTGAATGGATTTAGTGGAGCTCTCTAATCATTGGAAAATTCAGGTGTCAGCACAATTCAAGATGGCCGCCACAGCTAAGCCACCTCAGCAAGCACAAAAATGGTGGCAAACATCTGCGGGCGGCCATTACAGAAAGATTTGCAGTGGTTCTGGTGTTCTCTGAAGGCTCAGATCACCGTTCCTGGTCTTTTAGTAAAATATTGTCTGAAGGTTTTAAAAGCTTTCAGTCGGTGACGTTTAATGACGGCTCGCCAACGGTTCCCTAAACAGTGTTTTCTCCACAATTGTTTAGGGAGCGATGCCTTCAGGGAACCCCAGGGCTGTCGTTCCTTTATAATTTTACTTTTAGGGAACATTTTGTTCCCAATGGGACCTCCAGACTGTGGTTCTGTAACGTTAGTCTCCGTTCACACGATGACCTCCAGAATACCTTTGACCTTCAGCGAACAGTTCTTAAATTTCAGAAGAATGAAACTTTAATTTTAAAGTGCCTGACATGCAGATCCTACAAATACAAAAAGTGGAAGAAAACATCTTATTGATTGATGATTGATTGATTTTACCCATTTATACACAGAACTTGCATTTTTTTTCTTCTGGACTTGATGCAGTCAAAGTGAAACAGGAAGTGACATCAAAGAGGAACTTTGTTGTTGTCGTTTATTGAAACATTTGAACTCTGAGTTTGTTTCTGATGCTCTAAACCTAAAGAAACATCAAATCTTCTCAGCTGTATTGGTAGCCATCATGGCTCTCTGTTCACACACAGGTATTCCCCTTTGACATCACTTCCTGTTATTGACATCACTTCCTGTTACTGTGCATGAGAATATCTCAACAACCATTAATTATGCAAGGTGTGTTTTTTTCCTTCTATATGTTGTATTATCTTTCCAATGATTCAGTCATGTTTTTTCTAAAAATGTGACGTCGCAGGCACCTTGAAGCTGACTCGTGTTTCAGAGGAATCTAAAACGAAGTGTTCTCGTTCAGCTGCTCACCTCCACGGACCAGGAGCCGAGGTCTAATCCACAAGCCTGAGGCCTGGAATAGCAGCTCTGAGCTGCTTAAGCAGCTTGATTTTTATTTTTTTTAGTCTTGAGCTGGAATCCAACAAACACTCGAGCCTGAACCCTGGAAGACTCAACGCGAAGAGCTGCACGGGTCAACCCGGCACACGACTCGATCAGAGGCGGGAGGTCCGCCTAGTTAGGAAAGACGATGAGAAATGAGTCAGTGGGTTTAAATGATGCTGAGATTTTATTTTAATTTTCTAAAGGATCATTTGGGTTGGAGTCGTTTGTCTTCATAGAAATTAAATATATATATACTTTTTAGTTGTTTCTGTAAATTATAATTTGTGATGTTTCAGACTGTAATCCCAGTGAGACTAAAGGAGCACCGGAGGAAGATGGCAAATTATCCGTGATCAGATTAGAGGCTGAGAAAGACAAATCTCTGACACGAGTGTCTCGGGTTGTTGTTGCTCTCAGGCTCAGCAGGATCTGAGTCCGGGCTGCAAAACTCAAAAGATTCAAACTGCCGTGAGGGTTTCTGGTCCAAATGTCAGGAAATGGTCACCTGTCGGGGTGGAGCCAGCATCAGCATGATGACCAGGGAAGGGAAGTTTGAGATTGTCATCATTGTATGTTCCCATACAATGGTGAAATTAGTTCTCTGCATTTAACCCATCACACACGAGATCCACCCAGATGGAGCAGTGGGCAGCTGTGTAAGCACCCAGGGAGCCATTAGGGATTAGACAGAGACACCACGACATGTGAGAATGGCTGGGAGTCGAACCATGACTTTCTGGTCCCAGATTGGCTGCCCCATCTCGGCCTCCGAATAAATTTTCTTTGGAATTTGGTTCAGGAAGAATTAATATTCCTGCCAAATTGTCAGACTGTTTGTATAACAATACAGTTGAGGAACATATGTTCATCAAATGAGCATTACCTGAAATGAGAGTTCAGATCTCTACGTTTTACCGGGGGGGTTGTGCTTCATATAAACATAACCCGGTCAAAGCAGTGAAAACCAATAAATGTTGCGTTTAAGACCAAGCACTCGTTCAAGGAATGCACGTCACCTTTCAGAGATTGGTTTCCATGATCCTCGACTTGCTGCCACAGGCACCAACAACCTTCAGACCAGAGTTCTGCGAGGCCATTGAACCCTCCTGAAGATGGGAGGTGTCAGACCCCTAAAGGTCACTTCTTTAAAGGGTTTACCAGGTGTGTCTGGCAGTCTCCCCCACCAACAGGTGTTGGTTGTGAGGGAGGATGTTCCTCCCAGTCAACCCTCTTCAGGTGACTGGTGGTGTACCTTCACAGGAGAAACTCCAGACCCTCTCCAGGAATTGGGTTCCTGAGCCAAACTGTACTTAGTTTGTATTGCTTGACCCCTACATGAACTCTGGCTTGTTCCCCTCCATCGAGACCATAACACCAGGAATCAGCAGGTCTAGACCCCCTGACCTGGTCTTGACTTCTCACACCGCAGATCGAGAAGGTCCATTGAGGCTCAGTCACTAGGCCTGGTTTCACAGTTCCAGACCAGTTTTTTTTTTTGTGGTTTTCCCTCATGAAGGTCTTCAGACCTCTAACTCTGACCCCCTCCTTTCAGGCCAGAGTACCACTCGAGACCCTAACCTGGTTCTCCAGACAGAACCACCCCAGGAGACCCAAACACTTTTGCTGTTTCAGAAACTTTGAAAGAATTTGTAGTTTTATTTTGAACGATCGTTCATGCTGACTTTTTCCCAAACACACGATGTAGGAGTAGTTTGCAGCTGAACTTTAGCTCCTTTTTTTTGTTGTTTATTTGTTTTAGCTCAGTGATTCAGACCTTTTTTTTTTTTTTTTTACATTGTCTGACGAGGCTTTCATTTAGTTTGTTTAGACCAAGACACATTGTTTACCTGATCGTCTCTGACCCGGTTTCGCCCAGCGAAGAACAAAACTTTCCATCCTGCCGGGCCCCTGAGGTCCGATTACCGATTCATTATTAATCAGAACCGAGCTCGAGGCTCTTCAGTGCGAAACAAGCCTGACGTGAACTCATTACCCTTTAGACCCATTTTGGGTAACTTTAGCTTTTATGATGTTGCACTAATTTTAGTGTTTTAGGTTTAGCTTAGCTATTTTAGCCTTTAGCTATCTTTTGCTGTATGTAGTTTTGAGTTTTAGTGTATCATCTTTTATCACCCTTTTCCTAACGTTAGCTTTTACTTAAAGTTTTGCTGATTTTAATTTTTAGTTAGCACTAACTTTAGCTTTTACCTATCAAATTTTAGCTTTTAGACCTTTTTTGGTAACTTTGGCTTTTATCCGATGTTTGACTAATTTTAGTGTTTTATGTTTAGCTATTTTAGCCTTTAGCTATCGTTTGCTGTATGCATTTTTGAGTTTGAGTTCATATCTTTTATCCCCCTTTTTTGCTAGCTTTAGCTTTTACCTAATGTTTTTCTGGTGTTAGCTTTTAGCTGCTGCTTCTTTTTCTTTTAGCTTTTAACATTCAGTTTCTTCAACAAATGTCCGACCTCTGCGTTCAGCTTCTCTCGTTACGACTCAAACTGTTCATCAACAATAATTTTGATTTGATTTCCTCGGCTGTTTGAAATCGATTTATTTAAAACTCTTTTGTTCAGACTTTGTTTTCTTGTCCAGCTTCGGTAAAAACGTTTCTACACATCTTGACCGTTGTCGTGTCCGGATGTAAACACTGAGAGGTACCGTTTATGTTTTTGTGCTGAAAGGCGAGTTCGGCTGCTTTTGAACGTTCGGCTGACCTATAAAGTCCAGTTATTCTTTCCCTGGGAACCAAACTCATTAATTGGGCCTTCGGCTCTGTTTGGACCCCAGCCAGAATTTTAATGGGAGGTGAGGGGGGTCGCGTTAGGAGGTTTCAGCAGATAAAAGGAGAACCAGGCCTTTCAGCTCATCCTCGTCCAACAGTAGTCGTACAACTAGGTGCCACTGCTGAGCAATCAGCTGAAGACCAATTAGTCTTTTGTAGCTTTTATACTTTTCAAAATATTTAATTTATTATCACCATAGAAATAAACAGACATCTCTTCAGCTCCTTTAAAAACATTCTTGTCCTTTTATCCTTTTTTAGCTTTAATCTATGCTGCTATCTTTAGTTAGCTTTTAGGTGTGTGCGTGTGTGTGTGTGCGCGTGTATGTGCAGCCTCTGACGTCACCCAGCTCTCAGCTGAGTCTTTGTCTCAGTTCTCTCAGCCCTGAAATAATCTCTGCAGAAACTCTGAGATTAACAGAAACACACTTGTCTCTGCACTGACCTTCAAAATAAAAGCCCTTCACCTGCTTCTCTACTTTATCTGGACTAATTTTTACTGAAGGGCTTTTTGAAATTGTTAAAATGTGAGACTTTGTAGGTGAGAATCTCGTCCTTTAGTTTGTATTTTTATGGTAAAATGTTTGAATGATAATTCAGACGTGAGCTCATTAATAAAACCTCAACTCTGATAAAAGGTTTGGACGTCACGTACTATGTAAATAAAACCAGAATAAGATCTCACAAACCAGTTTGATTCACAGTAAATCTCACGTGTTGAAGCTAAATAATGTTATCAGATTATTTAGAATCTGTTGGTTCCAGTTCCATGTTTCCTCTGAGAAACTTCTCCTTAAACAACAAATTGTAAATGTCCAGGACCAGAGCTGGAGGTTCTGGAGGACCTGAAGAGACCAGTTGCAGGTTCTGGAGGACCTTAGGAGACCAATCGGAGGTTCTGGAGGACCTGAGGAGACCAGATGGTGGTTCTGGAGGACCCTAGGAGACCAGTTGTTGGAGGATTTGTGTGTTGGGTCTGGACTGCAGGTGGGCTCTTCGTGCTCTTGTGATGATGCAGTGAGCAGTTTCATGTTTTCTTGCTGAAACAATCGAGGCCTTTCCAGA